TGTGAATAAGAAAAAGTCGTTGATTTTTTTTTTGGATATGCCTAAAATTCGAAAATTTACGCGAACGTGCAATTGGCATGGTATGACGATGAGTACCGTTGCTATGAATATTGGATATTCCACTCGTGCTATTCGACACCTAAGGCAAAGTTTTTGAGCAACAGAGCGCACAGAAGATCGGCCACATATTGGATGTCATAGCGTCATGTCACGTGCCCAAGGACGCTATATTCGGAGCATCCACCGGCACAATCGCTTCTAACCTGCCACAACTACTACCGCTAACACCACTGGTACACATAGCAAGTGTTTATCTGCCCAAACTGTACACAATTGCTGGCTAGGTGGGACATATGGACGTCGACCATACATTGGTTGTGTCACCACGTAAATCTTGTTAATTGGGCACGTACATACTAACGCTGGCTTAGACAACAATTGAAAAGCAGTCATTTCTCTGAAGAGTCGAGGTTTTCCATTCATCGAGCTGATGGCAGGGTTCGAGTATACTGTAGAAAAAATGAACGTTTTGCCGACTGCTGCGTACTTGACAGTGATCGTTTTGGGGTTTATGGGTCTGTATTGGTCTGGGCAGGCATTGCATATGGCTTTCGCACTAATCTCGTCGTTATTGAAAGGAATTTGAAAGCCCCACGCTACCGAAATGAAATTCGTGCGAGGCATGTTATGTCACGCTTTTTCAACATGATAATGACAAAAGGCATACAGCTGGGGACACTTGTCTTTATTCTTTTTTATATGCTTGAATTTAAGTAAATGTTCAGTTGAATGTACTATGTTACACTATAACAACAAATAGAGGATTTCAGTCAAATATTATTGGAGAATAATATCCTATTAAGTAAAAGTTTAAAACTGTATGTGTGCCAATATATATTTTACCATGAGATGGTATTTTACTGATTGTTCATTTGACAACTAGGTGCCTTACCGATTGTCCTGCTGTAGCTAGGTATTGTTGGGGGGGGGGGGCGCTACGTTTTGTTCATGTCTTTCAGTCTTATTTGTTTTACAATTTTATATTAAGACTAACTTATTTTTCACTTTGAGTGACAGAACGTTTGGTCAGCTATTTTCATATTTGCATAAAATTTGCATACGTTTGTTCTTTACAGCATACTTGTAGTTCTTGATTAGTTTAGTTTATACGAATTTATTTTAGATCGATTGTGTTGGAAGCTATAAGTTTAATGATACACTTTCAAAGTGCTTAACTTTTCGACTTCAAATCACACAACATTTACCGATGTGGTTTCGAATCCTGTCAGGGACTTTGGTTTCTTTCATGTGAAGATATCCATTTAGTTCTACTCAGGTTCGATTTTGTGCCTAAAATAATGCAGGGAAGGACACATGCGGTCTTCTTCCACCAGTAAACATCGAACATCGCTAAATGAGCTGTAATTGTGTTGGTGCGACGTAAAACCTACCTAACTACTCTACCAAATTGACAAGGGTCGCCGGAGGGGAAAACAAAACATATTTAAAGCATTCAAAGCATGTAATAAATGTATATATTTTATGAACGGACAGCTGAAACTATACTTATAACATATTTACAATATTATCTTTTAAATAATTGATGCCATTAATTTATGCCATTGTGTTAAAAACGTCTTTTACATGATATCAATGGCACCGACTTTTTTAAGAATACATTCAGTCCACAAATTTCGCTTTAAGTATTTTATTCAATAAAGTCAGTATAAATTTACCATACAACATGTGTAAATTTGATTTTAATTAAACGTGTATTAAAGACCCTGTAAAGAAATTGCTTGCGTAATTGTATTGTACTAGAACGTTATCTTGGTAAGACCATGTTCCCCACTGTACAATAACTCTGTCATTCTCCTTTAATCTCGCCACAGTTTGAATAAATCCACATACATATAAGTCGTGCTCATATCCATACTTAGAAACCACAGTTCTGCCGTTGACGTTTATTTAAAAATTCATGCTGTGACCTGAGCTTATACATACCTGTGCACTAAAAGAATATGTCCCATTAATTGGTGCCGTGAAGACTCCAGTAGAAGAATCGTAAGCATTACCGTCGTTTACAAGGATTTGGGTAAAAACCATGATCTGGTTGACGATGGGACTCAGGTCAGTCAAATAAAATGCGTTAAAGATAATGTTTGGAACTGCAATAATAAATTAAATACAAGCAATTATCATAGTATTGCAAGCAATCCATAAGTCTCCTACCGGTTAGAACCCCAGCAACATTCTGAAGGGTCATTGGCCATTCACTAATGTTTCAATTTTTCTCTATTTTAAGTAAATATGTTGGAAAGTTCTGTAAAAGTGATCACAGGCAATAGTTTTTATGAAAAGACAGACGGACTGACGGACACTCTAAAGTTAATTTTTGAAACATCCCTGTTACCAAAATATGAAATTTTTAAAAAGCAAAATTCTTAAAGAGGAGATTACTCTTGAAATAAAGATGCAAGACGTCATTCATGATGTGAGTGTTAACAGAGAACAATTAATAATGAAGCTGTTCATCATGAATGTTTATTTTGAATTTGAAGTAAAAGAAAGTTAAAAGAATGAATAAGAAAAATTCAAAGTAAATCCTATAAGTAATGAAGAAGTTGGAGTAAAGCATACCAATTTCTCGAAAAAAATCTAAGTTCAAGGGGGACATAATTCTGGAAATAGTCTTGCTAGAGTATTGAACCTTCTCACAAATGATTTGAGTGATAATAGGAAACATATATATGAAGTTTAAAGAAGATGCATTAAGAAATAAAGAAGTTAAAAAACCAACATTTTTTTCATGAAAATTCTAAGTTCAAGGGAGGCAATTCTGATAATTTTTGTGCTAGAGTTGTAAACCTTGTCACATATGATGTGGTTGATGACCAGACAGTTATATTTGAAGTTTGAAATAAATACCTTAAGAAATAAAGAACATATAGTGAAAAAAACCGAAAAACTAGAATCAGAAATCTTGACAGCTCTCAATATACTCCCTAAAGTCAAGATTAAAATGATGTATATAATTTCCATACTACCATATCTAACCATATTTTAAGTTTCATAAAAATTTTCAGCTCCTTTTGACTAATCACAAATATTGTTAGATTTTCCATTTTTAAGCCTATTTGTTGCCATTGACAATCAATATTTTCAAAAAAGGAAGAAACAAAAAAAGACGTGCATAATCTCCAGACTGCCATGTACCCATATTTCAAGTTTCATAAAAATATTTTTAGTACTTTTTGCGTTATCACTGGATCCAGTTTATGTGTAAAATTTGCCATATTTTCAGTCTATTTTTTGCCATAGAAATTTAGAAATTTGCCATAGAAAAGAAAAAGACGTGCATAATCTCCATACTGCCATCTATCCATATATCATGTTTCAGTACTTTTTGCTTTATCGCGGGATCCAGTTTTGTCGACGGACGGACGGACTTTCCAACATTTTGGGTTTAGGGGCTATTTTCTTTGTTATTTTCTTTGTTTTCTTTAGGGCTTCTAGCCCATAAACCCTTTGATCACGGAATGAACATATTGTTCTCTTTTGTTCTCTTTACTGTTACATAGCCCCTTAACCCAAAATGTTTGCTCGGACAGACGGCCGGACGGACAGACGGACGGAGGGTAAACCTAAAGTCCCCTCCGGTAAACCGGTAGGGGACTTATAAATTAAGTATACGCTTTTTAACTTGGACAAGTTTTGCTCATTATATATTATTTGCTACTGAGAAAATGTTTATATAATTACGTCAAAATTACCGATTTTATTAATCATCACAACACTTGCTTAAGGTCTTCAGCGTACCCGTTTACGATGACAGCGTGGTCGAAACAGAAGAAAGAAAAATGATATTAAAAAAGTGGCATATAAAAGACGAACTATTGACGACATTTATTTTATAAAAAAAATATATCTAGATTTTAGGATAGAAAACGAAAATATAACGTAATTGATTTTGTATTTAATTTTTTTTAGATCGAATACTTATGTAAAAGTAACATATACAGACGATTACAAAATGTTTTTTGAACTAAATGTTGCACATGTGGAACATTACCTAACCGTAGGGCCATTATACCGCAAAATAACATAAACGGATCATACAATTTCGAAAATAAAATTTGTGAAGTTTGGTTGAAAACCGTGAAGTGATTAACTTCTTTTGTTAACCAAATTCCATGCATTTTATATTTTGAGAGTGTTAAGTTCATATAACGAACGAAGTCATTTTATAGGTAATATTTACCGTACGAGGAATAGGTCTGCGTCGTATTTACAAACCCGGGTACTGAGAGAACTTAGCAATCGAGGTTGTTAAAATGCCACGGGTCGGTAAATACTATGCAGACCTATTCATAGTGCGATAACTATCTTACCTACATGCTCAACTTCTAACCAAACAAGAGTTTCTAATTCAGCTTTTTAATATTATCATTTGAAATATACGTTCAAAGGAAAATAAGTGACAGGTTTCTATGAACAAATATGCCGTTTAAATATCCTAAATGCAGAATTGTTAAAACAATGCAGAATTGTGCAAATTTAAGATGAAAACTAATATTATATGAAGCTATAGTAGTTATGTATAACGAAAAGCCAACTACAAAAAAGCCTGTATTGTGTACGGTGTTATGGAACTTTTTAATATTGGCGAAACACAATATTCTACCCCAGGATGGCAGCCAGGTCGTTTTTCTCACAAATAATCTCTAAAAGCAAAAAATTTCATGAAAATATTTATGAGAGTTAAAATATCATGTCTTAGTAGTCGTATGAGCTCATTTATTTCTTTTAATTTGATGAACATGCACTTTACAATATATGTCAGTCCTTTTACTATTCGAATAAGTCATTTTTTCCAGTAAGCACATTTCAGCGTTACTTTTGCACAATTCCTCTATTATTTCAACTTTCCTGTAGAAAATTTCTATACGAGTGTATACATAATAATCGATCAGAAGTTATTATAAATGTAGCGTACATACCACAAGTACCAGTATTGCAAGCTGTAACTTTCATATCTTTGCCATCACAGTAAGCCCCACTTAAAGAAGGTCGTGGGTTTGTACATGTTCTAGATTGGGATCGCACCCCACCGCCGCATGTCGAGCTACAACTACTCCAAGTTCCCCACTCTGTCCAGCCACCATCTATTGACAAATGGTGTGAAAATGCAAAACAACAACACATTAACAATTTTCATGTGATACAATCATCATGTGTTATGCCAACACATTGTCTATTGAGCTCAGTTGGCGCACTGAACACGCAAAATTATGAAAATGAAAATAAAGATATACTCGTATACTTATAACTTAATTAAAATCCATATTAAGTGTGATTTGCCAGATTTGAATTAAAGGTGTTTTAAAAAGTGATTAATCTGGAAAAAACGGAGTCAAAGAATGATCTGAAACTTAAGTTATTTGCATTGATCTATACCAAATGGTATAAAATCGCGCATAAATAGTTTTTAGTCCCGTCGTGTAAAAAAAATAAAATAAATAAAAAACGCAAATTACTGGCGCATCAATGTACCATCTATAGACATATGATGTGAAAATGCAAAACAACTACACATTAACATTTTTCATGTGATACAATCATCTTGTGTTGTCCCAACAAATCGTCTACGTCGGTACAATGAGATCAAACCGGAGCACTTTAAAATCGATATTAAATGTGATTTGCCAGATTTGAATTAAAGGTGTTTTAAAAACCTTTTTCACGTTAAGGGCTTTGCACAATGAAAAATGTTTAATCTTAAAAAAAACGAATTCAACGAATGATGTGAAACTTAAGTTATTTGTATTGATCTACACCAAATGGTATAAATCGCCAAAAATATTTTCAGTCCCGTCATGTAAAACCAGAATCGGTAGCCGTCGTCTATTATTTGAATTTTCTTTTCTTTAGCGGAAACTTTTGCTCTCTTTAAAAAAATCTTTTTTGAACACCTGGTACAAGCCCTTCCCTGCGCACTGCGAGATGGACTTATCGCTCACATTGCTTTGGCTGTGCAGGGAAAGCCAAGAAATATCATCGGCTAAATAACCCAGCTTTGTGCTGCACTTCACCGTCGATGCAAATGACTGGCGCATCAACGTAAATTACTTTGTTCGTCTATTTATAGAAGATTTATTCAATGTTTAGTATACAACATTGACATCTATGTTTACCATAAGACAGTGTTGTTAATTGAACAGTATCGTACATAAAGACATGCAATGGTCCTATCTGGCATTACATCCATGAACATTCAAATGATGAGTAAACCTGGAATCTTAATTAGAAAAATAATGACAGCTATTATCTTTTGACAATCTAACAAGCTTACTAGCGCATGGTCCTTGTTCACAAATCCGGACGTCAATCGGATCACCGAAACAGTGATCACCAAATCTTGATGGAACCGGGTTCGTGCACTTCCGGTGACGTTTTTGCACACCAATATCACATGTTACGGAACATACCTCCCACTCGGCCCATGTAGTCCATCCACCATGTACTTAACGATTGATTAGAAAATATGAATAACAATAGTGTCACCTGAGTTTATATATTAAATATCTATTATATGGAGGTCTGGTTAATCCAACTTTATTAATAAAAGACGATCGGTCTTTATTAAGAAATGTATTTATATGTCGAAACACAATTGAAAATCCGTTTTTAAACAATTTAAAAGCAGAAGTTAAATATAAATACGACAATATACAACTCATTGACATCGATGAAGATTAGTTACCACTAAAACAACTCTAAGTATCTGATTTTTTTCCATATTGAATGAGTCGATTAATTGCAGTTTAAAAAATATTTTCTTATAGATCTATGAGAGTAATCAAACAGGTAATAAATGTAGTAAAGGTAATATTGATTAACTGATTCAATTTCTTCTTACACTTACCAGGGCAAAGTTGTTTGTTGCACACTTTCATATCGGCTGCATCCCCAGAGCAATTTAAGCCTCCATTTTTTGGTGAAGGGTTTGTACATGTTCTAGTTCGAGTCTGTGTGGAATTTCCACATGTGACGTCACAAGACGACCACGTGCTCCATGCGGACCACATGCCATCGACTTTAATTAAAACAAGCGAAATTATGAAATATTGGAATGAAAAAGTAGAAATTGCTTCACCTTACTGTAAGAGCAACTCTTCCTCTTCCTTAATGCTCGTAAAAAATACCTTCGTTAAAGCCTAGCACTTAACTTTATCCTGCTGATAAATCATATGATCATTATGCAAGATTATTAAGGTGTTGAAGGTGTCTTTTGCCAAACTGATTTCAGATCTATAATGGTTTAAGTGGTTAACCCTATACTTCATAAAAAGGATGTTTTCATTGAAAAGCTTCCTGTTACAAGTTCAAACTGCTATGAAACTATGAAAAAATATTCAAAACTGATGTAAATTGGCACAAATATTGACTGGACCATAGCCTCTGAAACAGCATGCTCAATCTTAAATTTCCTGTTACCATGGCAACGGGGGACGTCTCAAAAATGCCAAAAATCACTGTTTTGGATAGTTTTTTTCCCCATCAAAACTGATTTCAAAGTGCTGCAACTTCTCAATGGAAAAGAGATAAAGTAAAAGGCTTTTCAGCGTTGGTTTAGCCTGTCAAATGTCCAAAATTTTCTTGGAGATAAAGGGGGGGGGGGCCTAACGCCCCCTTCAAACCCCCGAAACAGAAGAGGCACATCCCCCTTCTGGCAACCCCGTGATGTACCTTTTCGATAGGGGGCGGCGCCGAAAAAGTCATCACTTTTTTATCAACATTTCTCAAACGAAAAAACTGTGTTTGAGGCCTAAATAGGGCATTTTTTCACTGTTTGAGGCCTCAAAAAGGGGGATCGAAAGCCGTCAAAACACGTCTATATGAGCTAAAGGGTTAAATTATTCTTTATTCTTGGGCGATTTTTGTGTGTTTATATTGACTTTTGACCAACCATCTGACTCTAAATTCAACAGGGTCATCAACAAGACAAGGCAATCCCCCACATCAAATTGGCAGTAGGTCAATGTGCTTTCTGTACGAATTCTGACAGGGTAGTATTTTTCGGACGAAGTCCGTCTGAGATCGGTTTGACTTCCTGTAAAATTGACAGGGATGAGCTGAAGGAGAAACGGACAAAAGCCTTCCCGGACAAAAGCCCTCCCGTCCAAAAATGACAAGGCGGCAAAAGCCCTCCCGTGAAAATGACAGGGCGAACAAAAGCCCTCCCGTGAAACTAACAAGGCAGACAAAAGCCCTCCCGTAACAAAAAATATATTTGTATGTTACTTAAAAAAACACAGGTAAGTAACATACAAATATATTTTTGTTACGGGGGGGAGGGGCTTTTGTCCTTCCAGTCATTTTTACGGGAGGGCTTTTGTCTGCCCTGTCATTTTCACGGGAGGGCTTTTGTCCGCCTCGTCATTTGGATGGGATGGCTTTTGTCTGGGAGGGCTTTTGTCCTACACTCGAACTGAAGATTAGAAGGATTTTCATTGGTCATTAAGATTTTAAATTGAAATTCTGACATTTTATTGGCCGTTCTAAAATAAGTATAAACAAATCTAAAGGATCTTTCTGAAACGTATTCATGTACAAATTATAAAATAAGCTAAAGGGGTATCGGAATTATTTCCAGTGAATAAACATGCCATCTCGACTTTTTGTCACGCATTGCTATGTTTCTGCTTTTTGTATATGTATATATTTATGCTTTGTCAATGGCTCTTTTTAAGGCTTTAACTGGTACAAAATAAAAGTTTTTCTTCTTCTATCTCTTAATTCCCTTGCGAGTCATGGTTTTGCGGGGAAAATGAACCAGAAACCACGTCACTCCCTTTAGTTTGCGCATTGCCAGAAACCAATAATTAGACGCTGACAGTCCGGTTGAGGACATTGTTTCATTTATTTATTAAAATTATTTTTGTTGCACCCGGTCACTTGGATGCTTATGAGGTCGTAGAAAAAGACAAAAAGAGTCAGAATGTTCCGAATTTTCCCTGAGTTCTGGAATAATCAATGGCTATGTTTTACCATAAGGTAGCAAAATTACACATACGTTATAAACAACACAACATAGACAAGATATTAATATACCCAAAGAGCAGAGATCACAAAAGCGTGGGCATATTGTCTTAGCATGATGCACATCTTGACATATGTTGGTCACGGTGTTTAGGAAAGCACAATCAACTCTTCCGTCATCGATACACGTTGTTGCTGAAGAAAGAGATAATTAGATAATTATATAATTGCATAGAGGTTTGTATATCATTATAAAGCCAAAAAGGTAGTTTATAGCATTTGCATTACAAAGCTACTTAAATAATAGAATCCTGTAGCCATTATCACCAACGGTCCTTGTTTGCCAAAGTTTTTTCCTTAACGCTCTTAGTGTTTAATTACTAAATGGTGACCTATTTTTATAGTTTTCTCTGGTTATTTTTTCGAAAAATGCTAAAATTTATTTTCGTAGTTTGATTTCACCTTGCAAAGCTTCTTTAACATAAAAAATTGACAAAAATGTTAATGTTTGCTCTGTCATTACTGCCAAGTAATTAATTCATGATACTTAAATTCAAAAATTCTTTGTATTACGTTATGATAGTGAATGATACTTTTGTAGAAATGGTAAAAAGTGCATGTTTAGATACAATTTGACCAATCACTAAAATGTTGATCCCCTATGAAATAATTTACGCTAAACACTCTACTTTTCCCTAATGAATTTTTCTATATTTCCTCAAATTTAGTCCTTTTATCCCCTTAAATTAATTCTTTTATCAAAAATCAGATTGAAAGATAGTAAAATCAGTAGGACAAACTAAGCCCGATAATATCATAACCTTCTATATACTATATAATACGCCCTGCAATGGTAGATGCCAATTTTCGTTAAAATTGTATAATAAAGTATATACAGTACGCTGAAGATTATAACTTTGCTTTTTTGTAGCTTAAATAATAATGTTGCAATATTTTGTTACTTAGTGTAATTTATACATGTATTAAAATCCATACTTAGTCATAATCAGCAAAATATTTAGATTAAAGTAAAATAAGTTGTCCCTTGTGAACTGAATTTAAACATATGTTACTTTTCCATGTACTAAATTACATGTATTTATAATTTGACTTTGATTAAACGTAGATAAGACAATTCATATTCACATCTGAATGACATAAATATTCTAACTCACGATCTTGTTCATTTTCTTTTTTTCAATAAACGTTAAGTGACATTATATGCTTATCGTTATATCAGTCAAAGTTTAAGTTACTCGTCTCCAAAAGTCAATCGAGTAAATCAAAGCACTGAGAGCACTGTAAATCATCAGAATCGGAATAATAATATATATTTTACTAATAGCATTTAGCGCATGACAAAAGCAAATACATTTCAAATAGCAGTCAAATGGAATGAGCCTCGTTTCGGAATGTTCTTACGCTGGTAAAATGAACCACAACAATATTATTTTTTTTAACAACATTTACCAAAGTAGTTTAAACTATCTCGTTTCAGATAACGTATTTTATAATACATTGATTACATTTCAAACTTAAATGCTGACTTATTCTAAATTATTCCAATAGGCTGTAATTTTCCAGACTTAAACAAGTAGTAGGTTGATGGAAATTGCCTCGTTTGGAAATGATTTTATTTAAACCAGGCGCATATTTGCTTTAGTTTTTGAAAGTGGAATAAAAAATATTTAATAAACCGTACGTTTAAAATGCTCGCAAAGATGTTTGTTGCAATCATCAATGCCACAACATTCATGACATCGGTCAGTGTTTCTTTCTTGAACGTCTCGACCTATCAGTTCAGAAGTTCCGCTTCCGTGTATGCTGCATTGCTGCAGTGTAATACATACAAATATATGTAATGCTTATTGGTTTCATTTTCATTCATAAATACATAAACATGTAACATTACTTTTTTCTAGAGGAGAACTCTTACCTGTAAATTCAGACTTATTTTACCGTAACTATAATAAAGATTATCCTAAATTATTAAAGGAACATGGGACAAGGATTTATGTACAATTTGATTAATGTCTAGACTATGTTTTATTGCACAGAATTCAAGATCATTCTCTCCATCTGTTTCCCTAATTATTCTTATATCTAAAAAAAAACACATCTATAATAGAGCTAAGAGTCGCATAATAAACTTTCTTTTTCAATTTAATTTGGGATCATTGATGCCAGCAATATTAAGCGTTGAGAATTGAGTACCGCTTAAGCCGATGCCAGGGGGCATGAGGGATGTTGCACGTTTTCAGTATCCCTCATGTACAGACTCATTCAAACCGAGTCTGCAATTCTCTTGTAATTTTGTTGTGATTAATGAATCCGAGGATTCATTTTGTTTCCGGAATTTTTTAATACTGTGTCAACTTCTTTATTATTTATTGCACATCTTTCCTTTTAAATCCCCCCAAATTCATCAATCTAAGAAATTCTTTTTTTTTAGAGTTTTTGACTTAGTGAGTTCCTTTACTGGAATTTACAGGTTAGAGTGAGCAAGATATAGCATATTGTTGTGCGAGTTTGGTTTAGTTAATAAATCAGAACAGTTTAAAAGACTCTATTACATCGTACTTACATGTTTGTCTATACATCCTAAAGTGTACATAAGACTTTGACCATTGGTGGTTGTGTCTAAGAAACATGACTGTAACAAAGATTTGTGAGGCATGGTAGTTTAAATAAAACGTATCTTATAGTCAATCTGTAAGATGATGCGATATTGAAAGGTAATATGATCTTAAAATAGAATAAACTAGTGAACGAAACTGGAACATAGACAATGTTTTTCAAAACGTAAAAAGAACTCCAAAATTGTTATTGAAACGAAAAATTTATAAACATTCCAATGACTAGCAAGACAGTTACGAGTACAAGTGTTAATTTGATAATAAGAAGAAGAATATCACAAATAAAAATATAGTGGTGATGAAACGTCACGGCAGTGGGCGTTACCCTGTATGGTTGGAAATTTCGGGTTGTAAGTACACTTGTTGGGACTACGTCCCAACTAAAAACCAACACAGTATATGAAAAGTAAAACAATGAATAGTAATGCATTACAGACAGAGGAAAATACAATCTGACAACGATACAATTAACAGTCTAAAGTTCACAGCAGACGACATCACAGCAGACAACAGGTAGATAATAATGACAAAGACAAAAAGACTAAAAGCGCTTACTTTCAAAAGATTGCAACAGACTTACGAACTGACACGGACAAAATGAATTCAAGAAAATGGCAAGGTTAGAAAATTGAATGAAATACGACATTCACCATCATCGACATAAGTTCACAATAGACATAAAAACTGACTTGACTGTCAAGTCAAAAACATACGGTTAGGCATCTCAAAGAAATAAGTAAAACTTTTCTAAGGACTGTAACGTAATTAATCCTTACTTGGTCAGAGCTGCACTGGACGCTTTGAGTACAATTGCTAACATCACTTATGTCTGTGCAAGTGTAACATTGGAGAGAAGCTACAATAAAACACAGTATTGAGGCGTTAGATAAATGTAATTAAAGCCGTGATATTAACAAGTACATTAATTAGGTAGTTATTTATTGTTAACTCCATTTGGACTTTATCTCATTGCTATAAATTGCTCATTTCCAAATTTTGGAACGTCGAATTTCTGGAGAATTTTTTTTTATTTCTCGAAAGTAAAAAAGCGAAATATTTGCAACAAATTGAAATACATACCGACATGGTTTGCATGAGCTAGAATTAACCAGCACACCAGAATATCTAAAATATTTTTTAAAAGTATAATAAATAAGTATTATCATTTACTTGTTTTCCTATAAAGGCAATATAATTTCTTTTCCAGATACTTAGTTTAACCGCGTTTTATCGACTGGAATTCAGGTACGCAATCGCATAGTATTCAAACCTAAATATGTCACAATAAATATACAAGCTAGTACTCACGTACATATAATTTATTACTTTACAATAAAAAAGGATCAAAAGACACAAGAAATAAAGTGAGAATAGACGGAGCTTGTTCATCTTAAAAATTGATGAGAAAAAAACCAAGAAAAAACAAACAAACAGAAAACAACAACTTACGAACGGAAAGCCCTTTATATCGAGACATTGTTATCCGTCAACCGCTATGATGGAAATGTTGCGCAAAGTATTGTCATAGATTTAGTAAAATATGTCATTAGATAAGACTTTGAAGGCCCGTCATGAGAAGATAATATAACGCAACTTTCTTTTCACTAAGGTTGACCCCTTTTCTGAAATAAAGGTGAGTGTGAAATAATGCAAAATGTGTTGCCCTCATCACACATCAAAAACATTGACTAAAACACTATTAAACTTTTGCAAAATTAATTTAAATTTACGCCTGAGTACGCTCAACGTAATCGCTTTGTCCGTCTGTCTGCCTTTTAAAATCTTGCCCCTTGTAACGAAATAGAATACTGACACCCCTGTCAATTATTTATACAAATAAGTGACCCATTTTTATCTATATAACCTTACTTCTGCCGAAAAGTAATAAACCAGTCTAAGAAATTCAAATTAGACACAATATGCCTTCGTCTTCTCTGAAACTTGTATAATATTAACCCTGTTTAGATTTCGAGAGAAAATTGACCTAACCTAGTACGGCTCGAGGACATTTTTTAACCACTCGTTCACGCTGCCCTTTAAATTAGATAAAAGTTTGCTTCTCCAATATAATATTAAACCCTGATTTTATCAGTTTATTATACAAAAGTGATTCTTGATTTGTTGCTTTTGTGGCATTAGAAATTGTACAGACAGGACGTAAGGTGGTTGCACACTTGGTTCAAGCGAGATAATTGGTTGCAAACTTGACAAGATGGCTACCGAGTCATGAATATTTACAATACTCGCACGTATTTCTTTTTACAGGAAAGTGGGTTTGTATGCTATCTTGAAATCCTTTAATATGCCCAATCCTTAAGACAATGTATATGGCACACTCGGTTTTGGGTTTCAGTCTTCTAGCTTCTGATTGAAGATATAAATTGGTAATATTCATATTTTGAGATTTGACAAGTGTCAATCCAGGGCGATTGTATGCTCATTTATTCACATCTGTAAGTCTTAATGTTCACCAAACAAGACAAAATATATTTCTGCCAATCTTGTGTGAATGTGTTAATTTGCATGTTCGAAATAAAGCTTCAATACACAAAAAAAATCTTCTTCAAACACATTTTGGTTGCACAACCAGCAGATTCGTTTATATTTTATGAAACATTAAAGTGAAATTCATTGACTTTCGTGTCAAAAGGAACAAGACGTTGATTTTTTTAGTTTTCTTTTGATATACCTAGAATTCCGCAAAATTTACGCGAACGAGCCATTGGCATGCTTAATGCTTGTATGACTATGAATGCCGTCGCTATGAATATTGGATGCTCTACTCCTGCTATTCGACACCTAAGGCAAAGTTTTTAAGCAACAGAGCGTACAGAAGATCGACCAATACCGCTATATTCGGAGCACCCACCTGCGCAATCGCCATCTAAACTGCCACAACTACTGCCGCTAACATCCCTGGCACACATAACAAGTGTTTATCCGGTGGGCTACATGGACGTCGATCATACGTTGGTTGTGTTTTGAGGAGACGTCACCGCGTAAATCTTCTTAATTGGGTACGTACATACTAACGCTGGCTTAGACAACAATGGAATAGCTTTCATTTCTCTGAAGAGTCGAGGTTTTCCATTTATCGAGCTGATTGCAGGGTTCGAGTATACTGTAGGAGAAATGAATGTTTTGCCAATTCCTGTGTACTTGACCGACCTTGTTTTGGGGTTAAGGGTTCTGTCTTGGTCTGAGCAGGCATTGCACATGGAATTCGCACCAATCCCGTCGTTATCGAAGGGAATTTGAATGCCCAATTCAACTTCTGAGATGAAATTTTTGCGAGGTATATTATCACAGTGTTCCAAAATATCACACTGTTTCAATATGATAATGACACAAGCCATACAGCTAGGGACACTGTGAATTTTTTAAGGGCGAATAACATTGCATTTATTAATGACTGATCTACCAAAAGCCTTGATCTGAATCCAATTGAACACCTTTGGGATAATTTGGACCAGTGTTTTAGACGTCACCCTATTCCATTGTCGAACTTCAATCAGCTAAGACAAGCCTTAATTCAGAAATGGAGCATTCCAAAATCTGAAATCAATACGCTGATCCGTTCTATGCACCAACGATGCCAGCCAGGCAGTCCTTCGTGCTGAAGATGGTTATACCCGATATTAATTTGTGATTTTGTTGGGCATTTACTGCATTTTAACTAGCATTTCACTACTTTTGGATAAACCCTCAGCAATAATTTTTATCACTAACACTCACAATAAAATACTCTTTAAATAGATATAAATCTACCTTAAACTTGATTTTCATATTTGTGTATATCGTATATCTGCACTTGAATACTGGGAAAGTTCCTTTTTGGTTCATTATATGTTTTGTTTTGTTATGTTATTATTGTCAATATAGTAATTATAAATTATTCAAAATATTTCGTGCCGATTTTCAAAAATAAATATGCAACAATCATTTTTTTAAAATAATTATAATAATTTTCATATGTTAATTTACAAGTTTAAATGTTCGTAACGGACATGCTCTTTCACTTACATCCACATACAATGGCAACGGAAATATACAATCATTTGTAATCTATTAATTTTTGAAACGCATGATCAACATCACACTTATTTGGCACATGTTTGACACATTGACAGCTTTATATTCAATTTTGTCAAAAAGGCGGAATAAGATTGTTTTGAAAGGGAAGGGAAACAATTCGCACAAAATTAACCTATTCACACTTGCAGACTTCTTGTCCCGCCAATCTATTTCTGACAATTACACACACTGATTTTGTTATCTACATATAAGTATAATTGCTATCAACACATATTTTATTCTAATGTGATTGGCATTCGTCAGGCAATGAACCTCTCGGTAAACATACATATAATTATATATTTCTAGATTAACAAATCACGTATCACGTGTCTCACTTTTACACTGTTTATGTAAATCGACCATATTTTCCATACATCCAAGACGCAGCGGTTACTTCCCCTGATCAGTACAGAAATCACTGCCACCACAAGTAAATTCGGTCGTCTGAGAGACAAATATATTTTTCACTTTTAATTTAGAAATAGAAAACTTTATACCATTTTAGTTTTCTTTCATTAAATTGTTATGCATTATGTACAAGAATGTAAAAAATATATGTATAAAAATTATTTTGTAAACATAACAAAAGATATTTTTAGATCTACTGTGACAAAATATTTTTACTGTGACGCCGTATATATAGTAAACAATAGCTATTGAACGGCTGAGCCCGGTACTTGTTTTAAAGTGTTAACAAACTGAGTTTTTTTGAACATATTTCTATCTGGTAAGGATGTAATTGTGAATCTGCCAGATGGATATGGGATCCTTGGCGTTCTGAACTGACCGCCATGTTTTTGTCACATGTTACAACTATCGTCACGTGGGTTTCAGTGGGGGGGGGGGGGGGGCAGTGCTTGAAGTAGCAAAGCGTGACGTAACCTCTATGATGAGTAGTTAAAGTAGCAAAACGTGAATTAACCCGTGTGAGGAGTTTGCCAAGAAGCTAAACATGGTATTGAGTAGAAGCTTATCGTTCGATTGCTTGGTAACTTATTTATCTTTCCATCAGATTACTTCCATCGCTTGTACACAATGCATTACAACAATGCTCCTAGAATAAGTCAAAATGTCTTTCAGGTTTGAATGTGGAGGAGAACGTAATAATCAGACTGTTATGAATTTAACCAAAAATTAAAGAGGGGATGTTTGGTGACAAGTGAATTTAATGAATTGAAAAAACAACAACAACATCTATTTGCAGATTTAATTACAATTGCTATTTTAGTTATTAACTGATTCCATCTTGTTGTTTTACTTTTTAAACAGGCCTGATAATATTTGAATATGTAGGTATTTGTAACCGAAAATAAATGTTTAGGTACCACATAATGAGAATTTGAAATAATCATAATCAGAAAAATATATTTTTTTTGTAATTTTAACTGTGAAATTATCAAATACAATTTTAAATTTAAAGCAGTATGACTTTCAATAAAACATTCTTTGTTTTCAAACTTGCTACCTACCCTCAGATATCTCACAGCCCCCCCCCCCCCAAAAAAAAAAAATGTTTTCCAAAACAAAATAAATCGTTGATGTTAACAGGAAAGCCGAATCTGACAACGAGAATCATATATATTTATCTGCACAAAGGTTTTGTAATTGTAAATATACAAACTGGAATACATGTTTTGTAAAACTTTTAAACTTTGGTTCTACACTTTAAATAGATGGTAAGCATTCGCAATTTGTATTAAAATCCATATAATTATAGACATAAAAATAATAGTTTGGAGAAACCTACCCACCCTACCCTCACCAAACTGGCATGGTCGTGGGAGGGGAATCAATCACCAATTTAAAGCATGAAATAAATGTATATATTTTATTAACTGACAGCTGAAACTATACTTATTACATATGTACTATATTATCTTCTTGGATATTTGATGCCGTATTGTGTCTTTCACATAATAACAATGGCATCAACTTTTTAAAGAATGCTTTAATGTTTCAATTAACAAATATCGCTTTAAGTATTTTATTCCATGACGTTAGTATAAATGTGTAAATTTAATTTTAGATGTGTATTAAAGAGCCTGCAAAGAAATTTCTCGAGTAATTGGCTTGTGCTAGAACAATATTCTTTGGGTAAGAATATTCCCCCCACTGTACAATCACTCTGTCATTATCCTTTATTCTCGCCACAGTTTGAAGAAATCCACATTCAAGTGAGTTGTATCCATATAAATACTTAGAAACCACAGTTCTGTCGTTGACTTTAATTGCAAAAAAGCCGTTATGAACTGACACAATACATAGCTGAGCACTAAAAGAATATGTTCCATTAGTTGGTGCCGTGAAGACTCCAGTCGAAGAATTGTAAGCATTACCGTCGTTAACAAGGATTTGGGTAAAAACCATGGTCTGGTTGATGATAGGAGTCAGGTCAGTCAATTGATATGCGTTAAAGATAATGTTTGGAACTGCAATTATAAATTTAATATAAATTAAGTATACGCTTTTTAACTTGAACAAGGTGTGCACATTATATATTATTTGCTAGTGAGAAAAGGTCTACATAATTTCGTCAAAATGACCGCTTTATTAATCATCAGAGCAATTGATGACTAATTTCAGGTCTTCAGCGTACCTGTTAACGATGAAGAGACGGTCGCAACAGAAGAAAGAGAAATATTAAAAAGCAGCATGTTTTGTTAATTAAAATATACGATCATTTTCGAAGGAAAATAAGTGACAGGTTTCTTTGAACAAATATGCCGTTTATATCCTACAATGAAGAATTGTTAAAATAATGCAAGATTGTGCAAAACGTCAGGTCGCATTGTGAAAATTTATCACCGAGGACACGTGACCACAAAAGTCCACGTGCACGGCCAAAATATATCGGCTAAGGTATGTTTTTTTAGTGACTTTTTATATCGAGTCGATTTAAATCGACCACGGCATTTCTGATGCTTTCTAAATATGCATTTGGTGTCGTCTAACATTTTGTATTTTCTAAATGTAGCGTACATACCACAACTACCAGTGTTACAAGCTGTAACTTTTACATTGTCACCTTCACAGTACGCCCCACTTGAAGAAGGCCGTGGGTTTGTACATGTTCTAGACTGGGATCGCACCCCACCGCCGCATGTCAAGCTACAACTGCTCCAAGTTCCCCATTGTGTCCAGCCTCCATCTATAGACATATGATATGAAAATGCAAAACAACTACACTTTAACATTTTTCATGTGATGCAATCATATTGTGCTATGCCAACACATCGTCTACGTCGGTACAACCGAACATTTTACTGAGACTTACCACGCAAAATATGAAAATGACAATAAGGATATACTGCATATACTAACAATTTCATTAAAAATTGATATTAAATGTGATTAGCCATTTGAATTAAAGTTGTTTTTGAAACACTTTCACGTTTAGGGCGTTTTTACACAATAAAATGGTAAATCTGGAAAAAACAGAGTAAGCGAATGATCTGAAACTTTGCAAACAAGTTATTTGTATTTACCGTTATCAAATGGTATAAAATCGACAAAAATATTTTCAGCCCTGTCATGTAAAAAAACGTCATTGGGAACCGTCGTCTATTGATTAACTTTTCTTTCTTACCTGTAGGTGTATGACAGAAGCGGAAAAAATGACCTCGACAATCTAACATTTATTGTTCCTTGAGTTTGGCCCTTTTAATTTTAAACCCAGCCCCAGTGAATAGTGGTAACTTTTGCTTTTTTATCTATTTTCTTTTGATTACCTAGTACAGGCCCTTCCCTAAGAGAACACTTAAATGCTCTGCGAGTTCGACTTTTCTTTTGCTTTTTTTTCACAAACAGTATCGTGCATAAAAAGTATTTAATGGTCCTATAAAGCATTGAATTCATGAGTAAAGATGAGTAAACATGGAATCTTTATAACAATTGTGAATAATAATAGCTTTTGATACTCTAACAAGCTTACTAGCGCATGGTCCTTGTTTACAAATCCTGACGTCATTCGGATCACCGAAACAGTGATCACCAAATCTTGAAGGTACCGGGTTCGTGCACGTCCGGTGACGTTTTTGCAATCCAATATCACATGTTACAGAACATACCTCCCACGTGGCCCAAGTCGTCCATCCACCATGTACTAAAAGTTAAATTGCTTTTAACGAATACGATCAGGGCTGGGATTCAACGATGTGTCGTATCCTACAAACGCCGCCATCTTGGAACGAAAAAGGTATATTTTTGTTTATTACTCTTTTTTGTTTGAAAAGACTGAAAACCAGATATATGTATAAATACGCTCCACTATTTTCCGCTTCGTTCGGTATATGTTGTTTGCACAACTATTTTGTCAAACAAAAGTTATAGGGTCAGAAATTTTATGGGGTTTTGTGGATACGACTCAGTTCATATTGCTTTAACCATCGTTTTTTTTTATTCAGATCAATTATATACTTATTTCAGAGTTAACCATAAACTTCAAACTATAATTTTACATCATTTACCAAAATTTGATTAAAAAGATGTTTATTTTGAAAGGCAATAATAACTTAATTGTATTTTACGAAATTTTTGACGCTGTTGAAAATAAAATATGATACAACGCAGTTGTATATTTTTGCAGTCTTTTCAACGTGGATAATTTTGCCACTATAAGTCTATTTTAACCGAATAATCACTTGCTTTTGATAAAAAAAATACTAATCATTCACGGTTTATAGCAATGTCCTGTTGCTTTTAAATATTTAGAATATGTTGTATCATTTCCAATATAGCATTTAATTTGAAAATTTACATTTCGGAAGCTACTTTTGAGATAAACATGAACGGAATTTGTGGATGCTTATGACAGGTGCTTAAAGAGCGACCAAAAAATGAAGCCTTAATAGAATTTTTATTACATTTTCCGTTTCTGTGGAACCTATGAGTGACCTCTGCTTATGACTTGTGTACAAAAATTCGCAAACACGAAATGTTGTTGGACGTTTTTAGCCTCCTTTAGTAGCACATTATTAAATAGCTGTTCGACCAATATACAGCCTACAATGAAAATACAACTGCGTCGTATCATATTTTCTTTTCAACTGCGTCGTATCATTTCGTACAAATCATTATTTTCTTTCAAAATAAACATTCTTTCAAATGAAATAAAACATTTCTTTATAACGAAAATTTAGTAAATGATGCAAAATTATATTTTAAATTTGATGGTAAATTCTGACAAGAGTATATAACTGATTTAAATGGAAAAAAAGCGATGGATAAAGCATTATGAACTGCGTCGTTTTCTGGCCCGCTTCGAGTTGCAAGTTCTCTATAACTTTTGTTTGCAATCAACGTACCGAACGAACGTGTTGATACATATACTGTATCTGGTTTTCAGCCATTTCCAACAAAAAGAGTTATAAACAAAAACATACATTTTTCGTTCCAAGATTGCTGCGTTTGTAGGATACGACGCAGTTTTGATTCCCAGTCTGGCAATGGTGAATCTTATTTTAATAATTATATATAATGCCAAATCTTATAACCAACTTCATACGAAACAAGTCACTTAATTGATATTTGTGGATATTTGATATTTATAACTTGTCTTCTTGACTAAATATATTTCTAGTCGAAATCTATATAAAATGATTATTGTTACACTAAAGCTATTTATTGGCACCAAATACAGATATCTAAAGGAGAGTACAGCTATAAACAACTCAATGACATTGATTAAAAGTTAGTAAAGAAGTTCTACACTAAAGCAATCTTACAATATTAATGACTCTAAAATCTGCAAAGCTATCGGTCCGGTATTTTTTTTTTTAAACAAAGATTATGTTTTAAAAATTTCCTACATTTTGTTGATGGGCAAAGAAAGATAAATTAAACCAGTGAACATATTTTTTTCTGAAACTTTGCATCATACAGAAATTTCAATTCAAAGGACATTTGAAATAAAAAATGATGTCGGTAAAAGTTGAATTTGAGTTATCTGCTCATAAGAAAGGACTAAAAGTATGAAAATTCACTTTAGTGGGCAGATATTTTGATAAAAAGGATCATGATCCCAGACGTTTTTATTATTAGATTTGTTCCAAATTAATTTACTTTTATCATGCAATGTTAAAGAATAATGTTCGCTACTTTAATTTTTACTTCTTCGCCAATGCAAAAAAATGCAGAAAAACGAAAAAATTTCAAATAAACGCCTTTATAGTGATTCAGTTCCTATTACACTTACCAGGACATTCTTGTTTGCTACACACTGTTGTGTCGGTTGCATTTCCAGAGCAGTTTAAACCTCCATTTGCCGGGGAAGGGTTTGTACAAGTTCGAGTCCGAGTCTGTGTGGAATTTCCACATGTGACGTCACAAGACGACCACGTGCTCCATAGAGACCACATGCCATCGACTTCAATAAACATGCGAAATAATTGAATATTCAAATAAATAAAGTTAAAAAAATATTCAATACACACCTCACTATTACCATATAGACAAAAAGAAATCATATCACTCAAAGTTCCTGGTGATCATTCATAATGTAAGTATTTCTTACCTTAGGCATCATATAAACAGTTTTCATAAAGAAAGGCCTAAATAACATTTGTGGATCTCTAATGTGAAGTACATATTTTACTTCTGTGACAAAATAATGCTTTATTTTGTGAGAAAAACATTGTTGTTGTAATAACGAGTGTTTTGACAGAAGCAATAAGGCAGCTACCATTAAAATCTCTCGTTAGAAAAATCGGCTACATGTATATCTAAATTTATAACATATAGCCTTTTTAATATACCAAATTTGGCCATTTTCAAAGTGGTACTTAAATTATGTTCTGACATTGGCATGAAGTAGACTTAGGTAATATAAAATAGAAAACAAAGGAGCCCACAAAGAAACCTTTCCCAATGCCATAAACAACACAATTGTAAAATATCGCAGGCTCGGTTAAATTTTGCCTGTTCAAGGGCGAGAGTAGTAAGTACCAGTTACTGTCTACGATCCAAGTAACGGCTTCATCAGTAGATCTATTTAATATTTATACATGAAAATCGTGAAATTTTGAATTTAGAAACGTCCGCAGAGGTACTCATATACGGCGGTGAACATTAAAGAGGACTGGTCTAAAGTTCAGATTTACTTATTTCTTACACCTAATGCGTAGCGTTATTTAGGAGCTGATTTTAATCAGATTGCAATTAGATATACCAAGGTGACCAGTGCAGATCAAGATCAGCTGGTATATCCGTGCTGTTTGATCATTGTCTGCACTGTTCGCTATTCCGTCAGTACTTCTTTTTATTCATAAAAGAAATGAGTGGTTTAGTCAAGATTGATGGACAAGCAAATTTAAGATACTAGTATTAAGTAAGGTGAAAAATGTTAAAAGAGTTTTACTAGCTGAGGAATAATACAATAATGTTTATGTTACACCACATCATCATTAAGATGAGAACATACCCAAGGAGCAGAGGTCACAAAAGTGCGGGCATACTTTCTTCGCATGATGGATATCCTTGCATATGTCAGTCACGGTGCTGAGGAAAGAACAGTCAACTCTTGCGTCATCAGTACATTGTGTGGCTAAAATGGCAATTAAATACACTGTTTTAGTTAACTTGAGTTTTAAATTAAAGAAATTGTCATTCATAGTGGCAGGTTTACGTTATGTTGTATTTATTTTTTGTCAAGACAATAAAGACAAGAGGGCCATGATGGACCTGACATCTCTCACCTGTATATAGACCCCCGGGGCGGGCCCAGTTTTAACCCAAGGGCTTTTAACAAAAATTGGTAAACACCCATTTGATTTTTTTTAAGTTTTTACTATACACATATAGGGAAAAACAATGGCCCCACCCCCAGGCGGGGCCAATTTTGATCCAAGGGCTTTTATTTTAACAAACTTGGTAGACACTCACAAGAAGATATTTCATGCTAAGTATCTAAACTCTAGCTCTTTGGATTTTTTAAAAGAAGGTTTTTTTTAAGTTTTTACCATACACATATAAGGAAAATCAATGATATACACATATAAGGAAAATCAATGACCCCCGGGGCGGGGCCAATTTTGACCCCAGGGCTTTTATTTGAACAAACTTGGTAGACACCCATTAGAAGATGTTTCATGCTTAATATCTTAGCTCTAGCTCTTTGGGATTTTTAAAAGATTTTCTAAGGTTTTACTAATTACATATAAGAAACATATATGACCCTCCGGGGCGGAACCAGTTTTGACCCCAGGAATTTTAATTGAACAAACTTGGTAGATACTGACTAGACGATGTTTCATGCAAAATATCTAAGCTTTAGCTCTTTTGGTTTTTTAAAAGAAGATTTTTTAAGTTTTTTCTTTTGGCTCCCATGGCAACCAGAGTTCTGCATGGAATTAACTTTTTTGAACAATTTTTAAAGTTGACTACTAAAGGAACATTTCTGTGAAGTTTGGGTGAATTTGGCTGAGCGGTTTATGAGGAGAGTTAAAGTTAAAGTTTACGGACGGACGGGCGGACGCCGGACGGAAAGCGATCACAAAAGCTCACCATGTCACTTTGTAACAGGTGAGCTAAAAACAAACAACACCCCCACACAAAACAACAACACCAAAAAAAAATAGAACGAAAATCACGAAGAAACGACAAAGTCCACCTGTCCCATCTTTATATTTTCGCACTGCTTACAACTGGACACTGACTAAATGCCAAATTTATTATGCTATTAAATGGCAGGTCATGAAACTTTCTTACCTAAAATTTATGAATTTATCAGATTAATATGTATACTGAAATGAACAATAAATCGTGAATTATGTCGTTACTTGCTCGCCTGCGTTTCGACTTTCTAAAACTACAGGTTTGTGAAAAACTCGTGTTTTGAGAAAAAAAATGCTCATAGGATTCTCTTTTCAAAAAGTTGAAATATAAAAACGTAAATCATACGTTTTAGATGTACGCAAAGATGTTTGTTGCAGTTATCATTGCCGCAGCATTCATGACATCTGTCTTTGTTGCGTTGTTGTATGTCTCGCCCAATCAAGTTAGATGTACCGCTTCCTTGCATACCGCATTGCTGCAATGTTAAATCATACCAATATACGAACGTTGGCAAATGGTGGCATTCCGCATTTCATTACATACATTCCATATATATTTCTAAAGCTTATTTAGGTTCCTGTTGTCGTTGAAACTGTTACCTGTACAAGGTATGCAGTTTTAGAAATATAAAAAGAAAATCATCCCCCTCCCAATTGTGGCTGAGGAGTTGCTTTTATTTTTTCTCCTTAAAAGTCGCATACGTTATTTTTAAATTTTAGAGAAGCACCTTTTTCGAGAGGAGTACACTTACTTAAATTTCAGAATATTCTATCCGGTAAGTGTAACTTAAACAACATCTACATCGATTGCACCTAAGAGTAATAATGTAATATCAAACTTACAAAATGTGCATGGTATATTATAATATTCATTTTTGTATTTTTATTGTTAATAAAACAGAATAATTTTTAATGAATTAATTTCTTTAATCGTACTTACATGCCTGTCTATACATCCTAACATGTACAACCGACTTTGACCATTGGTAATGGTGTCTAAGAAACACGACTATAAAGAAAGATTGTGAGATATGTTAATTTTAGAAAAAGTATTTGACATATGACTTCCATTGTTTCCTATGTAATAAAATCATGACTTAATTCTCTTTATTACAGAAGTGTAATATAACAACGGCATAAGCGTAAAAACGATAAACTACGGATTTAGACAAGATGAAAAAGCAACTGTTACAATAGACTTACAAAATGTCAAAGACAAAATGAACAGGCAAATGTTGTCACAATTACATTCTGACAATGACATAACGAAAAAGCAAAGTTAACGATATATACATAATGATATAGTTCACTATAGACTAGGCCAATTGACAAGGTCACTTGGACAAAGTGAAAAAGCGCCATTCACAATCAATAGAGTTCACAATTAGATTAAACACTGAAATGACAATGACAAAATGAAAAGGCAATGGTAACGATATAGAATATATTATAGCTTGGGCAAATTGGCTACCATAGGGATATACAATTCACAATACACTTACACTCTAAAATGACTGCAACAATATGAAAAGGCAAAAGTTATGGTATAAATATAATAAAAAGTATTCTAAAAACTTACAAGGACAAATTAAAAAGATACATGTAAAAGTCTAGAATTCACGATGCATTGAATGTCAATTAGAAGGACTACATAAAAAGGCGACAACTACAATCAACATAGACTTCACATTAGTCTCTCAAACTGAACTGACAAAGACAAAGCATACAGTTTGGCATCTCTAAATAAATAATCAAAGATTAACTAAAGACGATGCTTACTTGGTCAGAGGTGCACTGGACACTATGGGTGCAATTGCTAACATCGTCAATGCCTGAACATGTATAACACTGGAGAGACGCTACAATAAAAATACAATACTTATACGTTATAAAAAATGAATACAATTAGACACTGACAAATACAAAATCCATGCTCATGGCCGGGTTGTGGAAAGTCGGATTTCTTTAATGTCCATTTAGCTTCAAAATTGATACTGTTATTGTCTCTCAAAGCATTTTCATTTTTGATGTTTTGTTACAGTTTTGTTACAGTTTCCCAAAAGTTACTTATACATTTGAACAATCGTTTGATATCTTAGCATTTAGTACAGCTATAAGTACAAATATACTCGTATTTATTAGTATTGAAGTCAAAAGACCTCTTTGTTTGTGGTGTTTTTGTTTTGTTTAATTACTTTTATCAAGCATTTATTTCACATTCAGTGCAGCTTTCCTCAGGTGATAAGTATAAAGAAATCCGCTAGTAATCCGCAGTAATAAACACATTTTGCCCTTTCTAAAGAAGGAAAAAGAGAAGAAAAAACATATCCATTTCTGAGGATTCATATGCATAGATACTTGATAAGGAATTGTGACTTAATTTTCTTGTAATCGAAAAAAATGTAAAACAGCAACATACTTTTTGAAACAGATTAAAATACATACCAACATGGGTTGTATGTGCCAGAATTAACAAGCACGCCAGAATATCTGAAAGTGAATATTTTGAAATTATTATGATTATAATTATTGCCGTGATTCTTGTGGGTTTTTTTCACATTTACATGTATAAAAGAAACATATTTCTTTTTCAGAAATAACTTTTGTGTATAATTGTAGTTCAGGTACTCAGTACGGACTGTTATCGCATAGAATTCAGATCCTTAAATAACTCACAATAGATAAGCTAACGTACATTGTATGTAGATGTAATTTATTTCTATAATAAAAAAGGTATTATATAACGCAAGGAATAACGATATTAAAAAGAGCTTCTTACAAGTTGGTAGAAGCTGATGATGAAAATTAAAAGATTCAGAGGAATAAAAGAAGTATCTTTAAAAAAGATTTCTCGTCCGAACTAAAACTGATTTATTTGCATATCGTATCTTAGAAAACACGAAAAAAAATTACGGGGTAAAGGTTTTAAGGGAGTTGACCGTTGTGCTATAAATGAGTTGATTCAAGTGACCTCCCCTGATGACATTGCAAATGGCGTAGTGGTTCAAAGGGAGGTAACTGTTGCACAAAAAATGTGTCGATTAGAATGACCTCCACTGATTGCATTGCAAATGACGTAGTGGTTCAAAGGGAGGTAACTGTTGCACACAAAATATAGTCGATAAGAGTAACCTCCCCTGATGACATTGCAAATGGCGTATGGGTTCAACGAGAGGTAAATGTTGCACACACAAAAAGAGTCGATTAGACTGACCTCCCCTGATGACAGTGCAAATGGCGTAAGGGTTCAAAGGGAGGTAACTGTTGCAAAAAAATATATAGTCGATAAGAGTAACGTCCCCTGATGACATTGCAAATGATGTATAGGTTCAACGAGAGGTAACTGTTACATACAAAAATGAGTTGATTCGAGTGACCTCCCCTGATGACAGTGCAAATGGCGTAATGGTTCAAAGAGAGGTACTTGTCGCACTCAGAAAGAGGTCGATTAGAGTGACCTGCCCTGATGGCATCGCAAATGGCGTAAAGGTTCAAAAGGGAGGTTACTGTTGCATTCTAAAAAAAGAGTAAGTTAGAGTGACATTCACTTAAAACAGTGCAAATGGCGTAAGGGTTCAAAGGGAGGTAACTGTTGCAAAAAAATATATAGTCGATAAGAGTAACGTCCCCTGATGACATTGCAAATGGTGTATAGGTTCAACGAGAGGTAACTGTTACATACAAAAATGGGTTGATTCGAGTGACCTCCCCTGATGACAGTGCAAATGGCGTAATGGTTCAAAGAGAGGTACTTGTTGCACACAGAAAGAGGTCGATTAGAGTGACCTGCCCTGATAGCATTGCAAATGCCGTAAAGGTTCAAAAGGGAGGTTACTGTTGCATTTCTAAAAAAGAGTTGGTTAGAGTGACATCCACTTAAAACATTGCAAATGAGGTAAGGGACCCAAAGGGATGTTAATATTGCACTACAACTAGAGTCGGTAAGAGTAATCTCCCTTGATAACATTGCAAATGGCGTAAGAGTTCAAGATTTGCATGTTAGAAATTTTAAAACCTTTTTTATTCTTTATTTAGTCTTTTGAATCTCCTCTTAAATAATATTTTATTTCTCAACTCCTAGTAATATTTAACTTCTCCTTATAAGGGTTTTATAATCTGGACCAAAACGCCTCTGTCAACGTTGTCATTATAATAGAGATTTTCGACCATGCGACCACATACATGCATCGAGGACATGTTTGAAAGAAAGTGACCGTGCGACCACATACACGCATCACAAGATTCCCCTTCTCATACGAGAAAGGGACAAAGAGTTGTCCGCCCTTTTATTAAAGGGCAGACTTAAAAAATATGCCATTGCCTTATGTTATTGATAAGGAGGCTAATGTTCACAGATATAGCGTTACTTTATATACAACAATAGTAACGCAAAACAAGCGGGTTATCAGTTTACGTCTTTTTAAGTCCGCTATGAAATTTTAAAAGGATAATATATAACTTCTTGGAAAATTTTGAGTTTAAAGTTTTTTCTACCTATCATTCTATGTATATAACAGAATTATCTTAATTTTGCAAAACACGAACGTTTCAAAAACGTTTTATATGCATTAAATATTAGAGATATATTTCACACGTTGTTTTCAAATATTATCCTCGGGGCATTTTGCCGAAGTACAGACCTAAGTAAAGTAGACTGAAGCCTAATACTAGTAAATGAAACACAAAGTAAAACGTCATATTTTCGTGTGCCTTGATAGCGCAGTAGGCAGAGCGTCCTTGTCAGTGTTGTTTCCTTATGTATCTTTTTCTTATTTGATTAGTTTTGTTTCAGATAGTTACAAATGCATGAGATAGAATATTTTTGTACACAGGTTGTGTTAAGTTTGGGGAAAACGTCAAACATCAGGAAAAAGCATAATCAGAAATGTAAGAAATATAATGAAATGAAGTGTGTTATATATGGAACCATATATTCAAATTATTAATATTTCGTAATCGTAGTGTGTTTAGAATTGTTTGATTTTAAAATGTTGAATTTTTTTAAAAAAAATCACTAGAAATGTAGTCTTTACAAAAATGAAATTAAAAAAACAACAACAACAACATAAAATAGAAGTAGAAATTTATAAGAACCAAATACATGTATATTCAAATGATCATACAAAAGACAAAGTGAAAAAGGGAGAAAAACAACAACAACAACAACAACAACAACAACAACATCATAGTAACACGGCAGAGCGAAGGGTTAAAATATAAAAGTGAAAATAATTAAAAGTTACTCAAGGGGGTTAATCCATGCGCGCGCATCCTTCAAGTTCTGATACCGCGAACACTTCATCGGTCGGTATTTCGAAGAAAAACGGGTGGTGTGAAGAAATCAGAAAAGGTATGAATTTAATTTGTTTTGCAAAGAAGATGTCCTAACTTCTAGTTTTTATATACAAAATGTCTTGAAGTAACTCTTTCCTGTTTTTGTCAGTATTTCGCGTTGAATGCGATTTTTTGATTCTGGATAGTGCGTACACCCGGCGTTTGAAATGTTACAGAAAATGAGCAAATATCGATTAAAACTGGACGTTTTTTTTAAAACGGCTGGAAGTTTATACTGTTTGTAGAATCCTTTTCAAAAATAATATTTTCAAACCCTTTGTTTCAAATTCATTTGTACTAAAAATGTATTTAAACGCACTATTTTTACAGAAAACAGAGATTATGATATTGCGTACACTCTAAAAAACCCAGATACTGCGTACAACATATCTATGCAATTGATAGAAAGTACATTTTTATTCGAAGCAAGTCTAAGGTTTTTATAAAATGATAAAGCGGATTACATCGGTGTCCAATTTGAAGAATTATTTAAAAATCTACATCCTAGAAAATGTTTAGAATTTACATGTATTTATGCAATTTGTTTAGGTATTTATGTAAAACCTGGTGAATAATTGTCTATCTTTGATAATATTTTAATACTCTAAACATTTCAAAATAAATTACTTCTTACAGTCAAATTTATATCTTATTTAAGAAAAATGAATTTCTGTCGATTTTGTGGTGAATTCTTTGCCAGTGAATCTCTCTCAGACAGCATGAGGCACGACATCGGCAAGATGGCCCCTACAAATGTGATATATGTAGTCAAGTGGCTTTTTCGGAGTACCATTACAAAACACACATGCAGCGTCATTCCTCTGAACGCAAGTACGAATGTAAATGCGGCAAATCGTTCAAGACATCTCACGATTTAAAACGCCATGAACCAAGAAAGAGCCAAACAAAGGAATTCAAATGTGATGAATGTGGCTTGGCCTTTTCTAATAATAAAGATCTTAGTGATCACAAAGATAAGCACGAGAATAGAAAAAGTCATAAATGTGGAAAGTGTGGCAAAGCATTCAGGTATAAATGCAATCTTTACAGACACTCCAAAATGCACGAAGGGAATAAATTTACATGTGAACATTGTGGGAAAAAAATTCCAAGCAAAGCAGCTATTTCGTCCCATCTCTCATATGCAAGTAAAGATCCTGTCAAGTGCAGTATTTGTAAAAACTATTCAATCATACCAAAACTCTTAAGGAACACATGAAAAGGAAACAGAGTTAAAAGTTCGTGGAACATGAACGCATTCCAAAGAAATAACTTGTTGCAAGCGTTTTTAGTTCAAGTTACAAATATATGCTATTTTCTTGTGCAATTTAATTTACCATGTTTTTCCCATGAAGTGTCTGTAGCCTGAATGCTTTGCCACACTTTCCACATTTATAACGTTTTCTATTCTCGTGCTTATCTTTGTGATCACTAAGATCTTTATTATTAGAAAAGGCCAAGCCACATTCATCACATTTGAATTCCTTTGTTTGGCTCTTTCTTGGTTCATGGCGTTTTAAATCGTGAGATGTCTTGAACGATTTGCCGCATTTACATTCGTACTTGCGTTCAGAGGAATGTTAATTCTAAACATTTTCTAGGATGTAAATTTTAAATAATTCTTCAAATGGGACACCCGTGCAATCCGCTTTACCAGTTTATAAACCTTAGACTGCTTCGAATAAATTGTACTTTCTATCAATTGCATAGTTATGTGTACGCAGTATCTGGATTTTTTTAGAGTGTACGCAATATCATAATCTCTGTTTTCTGTAAATAGTGCGTTTAAATACTTTTTTTAGTGCAAATAAATTGTAACGAAGGTTGAAAATATATTTTTGAAAAGGATTCTACAACAGTATAACTTCCAGCCGTTTAAAACGGCCAGTTTATTCGATAATTGCTCATTTTCTGTAACATTTCAACGTCGGGTGTACGCACTATCCAGAATCAAAATCGCATTCAACGCGAAATACTGACAAAACAGGAAAGAGTTACTTCAAGACATTTTGTATATAAAAACTAGAAGTTAGGACATCTTCTTTGCAAAACAAATTAAATTCATACCGTTTCTGATTTCTTCACACCACCCGTTTTTCTTCGAAATACCGACCGATGAAGTGTTCGCGGTATCAAAACTTTAAGGATGCGCGCGCATGGATTCACCCCCTTGTTACTGTGGCGTTGATTTACCAACTGAGCTTCTATACGATGGTACACATTTTTTAGAATTAAACTATATGTATAGTTGTTGACACTTTCAATCTCAATATGCAGACTTACCCTTTATTTAACTTTCTAAAGTATCGTTAAGACCAAATTATCATCACAGGACAATATGGACAATGCACATTTAATTTCTACATGTGTATATTCGACTTATTCTACTTAAAAATAAAAAAAAAAGATTTAACTTAAGCAGCACGCAAATATGGCACTGGTAAGACTACATACATGTATTTGCAAGTTTTATCATACCTGCTGAATTTGATCGTTACAAAAGTATGAAGTAGGCCGAAAAGTGGTGATCATGCAGTCACGCAGACCTTCATCCGTGTGACGTAATTTAACGATCTTCTCGACAAAAGAGATACCTTAATTTCAGCTACATCTACCCTTCTTACCATAATCTAACGCAACATATACAATGCATACGTAGAGACTTTTTTTCTTTTTCTATTTTTAATTCTGTTTTTTTCTTCTTCAGAAAATAGCTGTAGTGATCCTGGTGATATATTTGATTTAATACAGTGATACAAGACTTTTTAGATATAGTTCATCGGCAGAGATCTAGGACTTTATGCCTAAATTGACATTACGCGGCCTGCTAGGGGTCTTACAGCTCAGTGAATCAGCGATAGATAAGTTTCCAATTGAGGTCACATTTAAAATGTGCAGTTATCTTATTATTAATTAATAAATTAATAAATATCCACAACTGATAGAATCTGATATTATAAGATGATAGCTTCCAGTAGAAATCGTATGCTTATGATAATGTTGTTTCATTACCCAGTATGTAAATTGTAAGCGTAGTTGAATAAAATAAGTTTTAACCAAATAAGAATGTATTATTTTGTAATTCTCTACACGGAGTGACCCCCCTTGATCAGTACATTTGTAAGTATTTATTTCGTGTTTGAAGGTTGGTAAGATACTTTGATAATTTATGTAAACACTATTCAAATCGTTTCGAACTTTTGGTGTTAAACTAGGCTTTTCATTGTGTAAGCGCCATTGCCCATTGATGAAATGAGCTAGTTTGGCAAAGTTCCAATTTTATTTTAACATCATTTACTATTTATGTTTTAATGTTTTGAAGACTTACAAAGAATGGACGGAACTTATATACTATCGGGCGTTATCTGAATATATAGTGTTGTGTGTTGAATATGACAGGCAATTTTAGTAAGACACCATTTCCACGGCATTTGTATTGCAATTTTTTACCAGACACGGAATAATTTTGTACAACCCCCTTTTTTATTAGTATTTTTTTTAGATTTGATAATCAATGTTTTATAAAATATTACGCCCCATCCAAATAAATTAAATTGTCAAAAGTGTAAAAATAAGCCTTATTTAACACGACAGAAACAAGACATTCAGCAAACGGGGAGAAACTTAACAGTGTAACTTTTTTCTAACAATACGTTAACTATTATTACGATATTTTATGCAAATTCAACTTTAGTTTTCTACATTTCGGTAAAGAGTTTGGCAGTAGCCAAAAACAGCGAAGGAAAAATCTCGATTAAAATATAAGCTCATTAAGCCTGGGATATAATTTTAAAATCTGAATGAAAAAAAAAGAAAACACAACAAAAAATATAAATAATTATAAATAGTTTGGTCACATAAATATAAAAAAGAAAAACATTTAAGTAATTGAAGTTTATTCCAATCAAAATTGAATTGAAAGTTTATAAATGACAACGTTTTGTTGATACGAAATACCCGAATCACCTTTGGAAAAACAATGAAAGAAACCTAAAATCCGAAAAAAAAAAATGAAAGAAAGCTTTCTTATCTAAAACATTTTAACAAACATGTATTATAAAATAGATACTTCATAAATATGTAAAATATATGAAAATTATAAACTCTGTATATAACTGATAATACCAGATAAGTTCGTTTTCTTGTGTGCTTCTCGCTATTTTCATGCACTTAAGTAAACAGAAAAGTGGACCTACTTGGTGGTTTCGTTTATGTTTGACAAAATTTATAACTCTTAAAAACAGCGTAAAATAATCTGTAGGATTCATGGCAATATAGAATTTATAATGTGTAGGAGAAGGCATGGTTAAACAGAACTTAAGTATCTGAAATTTAACTTGATAGTAGAAGAACTTATGAAAGTAGATAGTTCGTTTCCAGACTCCTTTAGATCCATTAAGAATTAGAAAAAATCCTTTATGTCATTTTACAAATTTGACAATGGTCAATCAGATTCCGAGATTTCAGATTGTTATTTTAAAATGATCAATGAATTTTTTACATAAATTCAGTTCTTCCCTGTAAATTTAACAGGAAGTCAAACTGAAAACAGACCGGAAAAATGAATAAATAAAAACAACTTACGGGCGGAAAGCCCTATATATCGAGACATTTTTGTCTGTGGTGTCAATGTCGCGTAGTTTTGCTCATAGATAAAAATAAAATATGTCATTAGATAAGAACACATACTACGCAAATAAAGGCCCTTCCTGAGAAGATTATATTAATGCAACTTTGTTTTCACCACGGTTGAAGAAATAGCAGGGACAGAGATATGTCATTCTGACACAGGTAATTTTGTAAGGACCACAGAGGCCTCAGAAAGTTATGAAGTCATATATAAACCGTTCGACCACAGATGTTCCGTCATTATCAGGGGGCTCCCGGCAAGTTGAAGCCATATATTAACCGTTCGACTAATGAGGCCCGGCAAAGGAACGGATCATTGGTCCAGTAGTACCAATAGTAGTACAGTAGTACACGTTGAACTTGTAATTTTAGGGGGCACAAGTTTGATCCCCGTTCCTCCACTTACGATGCAAAAGGACTTTCTATAATGAGAGATTAAAAACCGATGTCCCATGTATTGTCGGCATGTAAAGGAACCAGGGCCAACTCTGTCAAGGAGTACTTGTGATCGAAAATGAAAAGTTGAAGTAATACCTGCATGGTAAAGTTTTACAGTATATGTATTTTATAGTACATGTATACAATGTTTTATCAATTAATAAATAACCTGTCACTTCCTATAATTATGACACAAGTCAATGCAATTTTTTCTCATGAGTTTAAACCGTTTGTATTTTTTTGTTTTTTTTGTCAGCCAATTGGGAATTTCTATGTAGATTCTACTTTTTTCTTATTCATAATTTGAAATCATATTTTTTTCTGAAAATTGAAAAAAAACAACAAAAAAACAACAACAAACAAACAAAAAAATATTTTGGATTGGTAAAGAAGCCTGGTTATAGAGCGAAATATGTCTTAGAATCTTATTATGAAAATAACTTGATAAGAGTTTTAAAAAAAGAAATAAAGTGATATTAATTAACGTTCAATAATAATTACTGTATACAGTTTGTCTATCTCATGGTATTTTAAAATAGATTTATTAAAATACTACAGTAACAGTAGACTACTACAGTCAAAGTTTAGAATTAAAAAATACTAAAAAATTTGAATACTGTAACAATGTTGCAGATTGTGTTTGTTTGTTTGATTTCACAGACAAGGGAAGTGACTGTACTCAAAGCATAAATATAGTAGTTACTTCCCTTAGGTTACAAGAAAGCAGGGGGAGATAAACTTTTAAAAAAACAAAAAAATTTTCGGGTAAATCACTTTTCGCTGTCAATTTTAAATTTTGTTTTAAAACTTTTTAATGCAATTAAAGCTTTAAAATACAGGGGAAAAATGGATCATTTTATTTTTAGAAAAATGTTTTGGGTTTTACACTTTAAAACAGGGGCCTTTAAAAATGTGGAAAAAACGGGGAGATGGAAATTAAAATTTTGTTTTAAAATTTGGGTTGCGAAAAGCACAATTTTTGGCGGGGGGGGGAAAATTTATGTTAAAAAAACCCGGGGGTTGATTTTTTAAACGGCCAATTTTTAGTTGAAAAGTGTTCCCGTAAAATACAAAATGAAAGGGAAAAATGATAATGATTTTTTAAACCCATTAATTTGATTTGTAAAAAAATTGAAGGCCATTGTAACTAAGTTTCCCATTTTTTTAAAACCAAAGTCATTTTTTTCCGTGTGTTTTACAGCCGAATAAACAGATAAAGGCAGTTTCCCCTAGCCTAAAAGGTAGCAAGACAAGTCACCCCTAGACACTTCACCCCTCAAATTTTGAAGACACTTCACCCATCAAGACACTTCACCCCCCAAAATCAGTAAGACACTTCACCCCTCATCCAAATTTTTTCTATAAATTAAATAAGCCAACAAGATATGGCCTAAAAAATTGTTTGTTTCAGGTGTCCCTACCTACCCTGTTGTTTGGCAACCGACGCTAAACTTTTTTAGGGAATACAGGCCACATTTTATGTTTGATGCTGCATAATAAACTTAGCCCCGCACATTCATATTTCTGTCGCATTATGCATACATTTGATTAGCTTAAAGTCTTCAGCGCACCCGTTTATATACTATGAGTATGACATGATGTGAACGCTGAAGATAACCCGTAGGGAAAGTCCACCAATAATCGTGCCGGGAATCTGACACGCTCGTATTTATTCATCGAACATGCCATGAAGTAAAGTGAAGCATACCTTGATAAAACTATATATAATCTGTTGATAAGCCAAGGATGGACAAACAAAAATCTTATTACGAACATAAACTACCTAATAGTTTCCGACAGGTAAAAATTTCGGCACTTGGCCGCCATATTGCCAAAATGTTTGACCACGTGATTACGAGATTGACCTTTATGAACCCATGTGCCTCCAATATTTTTATAAATTACTTTTTTTAAAGATATTGAAAAGGGTGATTTACTGACTTTTATATTCAATAAAATCATATTTAAGTACTAAAAAATTAATGAAAATGAATAAAAACATTATCTTGAATAAAAATACCGAAATGTTCTAAATGTAGTACACGACTCTATTCAAATCTGTTCCCGCGAATGACGTCATACGAGGTCTCGCGTGGCACCTGAATGTCATGGCCGACTGTAGTCGGCGTAAATTGTTGTTTTACAGTTAAATAGGCAATTTTAATGACAGTATTAATATTTTGATACTTTAATTGGTATAGAATGATATTAAAATAATTGTTTTATCGTAAAATGCACAAGAATTGATTGGGTTAAGTGTATTTGCAAGTGAAAAGCAAGAATAAATCAACTTATGTTATTCTGGTTAGGTTTTGTAACGGGTCTAATCCAAAACTTTAATGCCGCATCAGATGAAAAACAAAAATGTTAAATAGCGGCTTATAAAGTTTTGGAAGCCAGAACTAACACTTGATATAAAAAAAAAAAATAATAATAAAAAAAAATGCCTACCTACCTACCCTATTTTTTAAAACCATGTCACTGGAAACAAACACTTTTTTGTTAGGCCTAATGCTTTTATATGTTTATTTTAACAGGCTGGTGAAAATGCCCTATTGGGCTTATAACATAAAAAATCAAATTTCTAGAAAAATAATGAAGATATTTCTTTTAAACTTTGTTTGTTTATTGAGCATACTATATTGACATAAACAGAAAGAAAAATAATTGGTTACTGTCACTTTTGTGAGAATTATTTCCCCTTTTTCATGTTTATATGACACATAATTTTTGAACCCTAGTGTGTAACTTCTTGAGACATCTTTCTTGAAGAAACAAATACTTGTAATTTAAGAGGTAACATAGGTGTTACTTTTAGTACATTGTAGTTCAAAACCTAGACTGAATGCCCAGGCCCTCTCTCCTTGGTTATTATATATCAAATCAATTGAATAAGGGAAACCTTCATGGTTCATGTAAGAGGGTTTTGTCCATTCATGATAATTAGATATCATTTACATGTACATAAATGGAAAATATATTTTCTTTCTAACTTTCTTCTTTTTCACAATGCTCATTTATTTCAAAGGGTTTCATGAGTACATGTACATTTTTTTCCACTGTTTCACACAGGATGCCCCGTAGAGCTCAGGGTTGTCATTAACATTTTTTGCAGAAGGTTTGTTTTGAACTTGAGGCGGTCATTTCTGTCTTTATCATGCATAACAAAGAGTGTTTTTCTTAATTTTTTAGGGGGGCCCATAAAAGCAAATTTTAAAACCCGGCATTTTGGGCCTTTCCCGCCTTTTAAAAGACAACCCCTGAAGGGTTTTCATCAAAGGAAAAAACAATATTATATATCGTAAAATATATTTTTGTTGGGTCACTAAATTAAAATAAATGGGTTTTGATACTTTTGAAAAATTTTCATTTTAAAAAAAACTGTTTTTTTTAAATAAAAAAAACGAAATGGTTAGAAGTTTATTTATTTAATTTTACAAAGAAGCATTATACAAAAAGCAAAGGGTTTTCCATTTTTCCTATTTTTAAAAAAATGCTGTTGTTTTCGTAAAGGACCAAAATTTTTATAGGATTATGAGGGGGAAAAAAAAACCTTTGTCATTCCCAAAGGCATAAAAAAATTTAAGTCACACAAAAATTGTTTTGAAAAGAAAAAAATTATGTCTTCTACTGAAATCATTTAAACAGATAAGAAAGTTGAATAGTAGTCAAGTAATTTTCAGTAATTATCGATAAATTGATGTATCCTTGATTTATGTTATCAATATCGATATATCGTAAATATGCTTTGCACTAAATCAATGACGGCTCTAAGTGCCCTGTTTTACACATATATTGCACTATATATTTTCTCCAGTTAACCACATTATACAGAAACTCACAAAGACAAACAAATGGCGTGTTTCGGAGAAATCTCTGTGACAAGGCAGATAAAACTTCTAAGGTAAGTCTTCCAACTGTATATTTTTAAAGTTTGTACATACTTGTCTTATACTACTTATGCAATTTAAATGAAATATTACAGAATTGATCGGTAACTTGAACTTGCACATATTTAAAGGGATTTTTCAGTTCAACAATTTTTTGCTGAGTAATGGCATTTGAGTAAAAAGACTTGTTTTGACCCATTAATGAATTTTGTGTTGCCTGCTGTACAGTAGTTGCGACATGTTACAATGTAGCTGGGACGTATACTGGGACTACTTCACCATCCTCTGTCTGTCTGTGCACACTTACATGAAAGTTATTATGCGGCAACAGGAAGTGAATACATAAAATTCATAAATTTTGAGTAAAATTATCAATAATTGCTAGTGTCTAACCATTTACCTTACTTAGTCTGGACTAGTGTTGCACAGATTAGAGTTGCTACTTGTCATTCAGGTTCAATCTTAATCAGGAATTTTTGTTCATTTATTCATACATAAAATATTGGCAGTTCATGATAATGATTCATATGCAGCAATACTTGAATTGAGTATGAGTTGCGCCATGACAAAACCAATATTATGGGTTTGCGACCAGCATGGATCCAGACCAGCCTGCGCATCCACGCAGTCTGATCAGGATCCATGCTGTTCGCTTACCAACACTATTACAAGTGGAGAAACTGACAGCGAACAGCATGGATCCTGGATCCATGCTGGTCGCAAATCCACTATGTTGGTTTTGTCGTGACGCGGCTCATATATAATTGTTTATGGATAATCTCTATTGAGGATCTATTTTTAGAGCTCTGAAGTGCCATTCATGTCTCCAGTGAATAAACCAAAGAATAATAGTCCATATGCAAAACTTATACGTAAAAGTAAAGAGGAGAAAAAGAAAGCTAGTTGGATCAAGGTAAGTGCGACTTGTCTCTACATTGGACATGATTTTTTAACTGTTTAAACTGATAAACTTTTGTAGTTTGCCCTGCCTTGAATTTGGAACAACCATTCAAAGCTTTAAAGCTCCCCAAGACTCCAAAGGTGAGCCCAAATATTTCAAGAAACCATCCAACTTGAAAAAAAATGTACTTAGTTTTAAGATTTTTAAGAAAAGTAAAAAGATTCAAGTTATAATTTACATGTAAATTTGTGATTAATGACTGATTTTGCAGTGTTAATAACAATAATTAATTATTTAGTAATTAGGTACATTATAACAGGTATAAATCTATATGTAATGAAATATTTTCATGAAATTTATTAACAGTAACATTATCTTGTTTCTATGGTTTAGCAGTAGGGTCAGTTCTCAATGTGCTATTTTAGGTATGTTTTGTGACATTCTTGTACATGCTCCACCCAATCAGTATTGTGAAGTAACAAATGATACTGTCAACCTTTTAACTTAAATTTAGCTCAATAAGGAGAGCATGGGGTCTGAGTCTCTAGTTTGATCCATGGGCAAGGCAAATGTTTTTATGAGACTGTCACACTAATGATCTCGGACATTGACTTTTATGGGCATTTTGTCTCTCATGGCTAATTCTGATATAAATTGGAATAAAGATGAAAAATGTAAAAGTTAATTAGTCTGACTTGGTTTGATCTTTACTGTTGTCACAGGCTAATCACTTTCATTTTCTGTAGGTTTATTGTAGAAAAATTGATTGAAAATAACAATATGTTGTAATAATATTTTAGGGTGGGCCAAATTTGTATATACTCACAGCAACGGCAGTTGGTTTTGTAGCGTTGTATTACTATGTCAAACAAAAAATGAAACAGCAGCATGTTGGTGAGTAATTAGATATTGGTACATGTTAGTATAGATATTGATAGTATAGATATTGGAAGTGTAGATGATGGTAGTATAGACATTGGTAGTATAGGTATTGGTAGTATAGATATTGGTAGTATAGGTATTGGTAGTATAGATATTGGTAGTATAGGTATTGGTAGTATAGATATTGGTAGTATAGCTGTTGGTAGTATAGATGTTGGTTTGTACACTGGTAGTATATGAGATGATTGGTAGTATACTGGTAGTATATGATATGATTGAAAGTACGCTGGTAGTATATGATATGATTGGTAGTACACTTGTAGTATATAATATGATTGGTTGTACACTGGTAGTATATGATATGATTGGTTGTACATTGGTAGAATATGATATGATTGGTTGTACACTGGTAGTATATGATATGATTGGTAGTATATGAGATGATTGGTAGTATACTGGTAGTATATGATATGATTGGTAGTATACTGTTAGTATATGATATAATTGGTAGGGCACTGGTAGTATATGATATAATTGGTAAGACACTGTTAGTATATGATATAATTGGTTAGGCACTGGTAGTATATGATATAATTGGTAAGACACTGTTAGTATATGATATAATTGGTAAGGCACTGGTAGTATATGATATAATTGGTAAGACACTGTTAGTATATGATATAATTGGTAAGGCACTGGTAGTATATGATATAATTGGTAAGACACTGTTAGTATATGATATAATTGGTAAGGCAATTGTAGTATACGATATGATTGGTAAGGCACTGGTAGTATATGATATGATTGGTATTATACTGGTAGTATATGATATGATTGGTAAGGCACTGGTAGTATATGATATGATTGGTATTATACTGGTAGTATATGATATAATTGTAAGTATTTACATGATTTAAGAACTGATTATAACAATACTGTAAATTATTTGTTCAATATGGTTATATAATGTAATACACATGTATGTATGTAATAGATCAACTAAGGGGCACTTAAATGGAAATATATGAATATGATAATACAGAAAGGTGCTCAGAATTAAAAATTGATATTCAGTGCCAATATTCTTAGCCAGATATAAGTTTAAAGTGCTCAAAGTGCCTGCAATGAATACATTAAAAATGATAATTCTAAACAGAGAGAGCCGATGATCTGATATTTTGCACACAAGTTATTGGTGAAGATATTTATCAAATGGTATAGAAATTTTGAAAATTAAATTTCCAGTCCCATTCTGTTAAAAAAATTATTCGAGTCCCTTTAAGTTTACAAGTAAAGGAAAAAAAATCACATTGGCCGCTAATCTATGTTTTATGACAATTTTGGGAATGTCCCAGCTTTCCATGTTCCTTTTTATAAACAATGTGATTTATTTTTTAGCTTTGCTAAAGAACACGATAATGGATGAAGAAAATGTCCTGATTGGAGGCAATTGGGAATTGATCAATCAGGACGGGGAAAAAGTTTCAAACAAAGACTACGAGGGCGACTGGTGTCTGATTTATTTTGGTTTCACTCATTGTCCTGACATATGTCCAGACGAGATCGAGAAAATTGTAGAGGTTATGGATATTCTAGGTGATTTGACATCTTTATTTTGTTGATTTTCTTTGAATTTTATTTATATATCTACTTTGTTGTGGTAAGACATATAGTTTGATACAGGATGAAAATACAGAAAGGAAGTCCATGTCTGAAGATAATGCAGTTAATTCTTTATTAACTAGTATAGCTAGTTTTTATGGGGTTGTTTAGTGTGTGTATGTATACATCAAGTTTTAGTAATATCATGACTTTATTGGATAAGTAACATATTTCATTAGGCTAGTTTGAAAACATTAGAGAATTTACTTTCACCCAGCCCTTTCCCCAAACCTCCAAACTTTGTAAAGTCTTTCCCTTTCCTTCTTATCCCTTTGCATTTAAACAGTGAGGATTTCAACTTTCACAATCTTTGTAATGTCCTCAACATGTGGCGCCAATACAATAATAAAAACCTTTAATGCCCATGCACTGCAAGCTTGGCTATATTCCCTACTGTATTCGGTATAAATGTAAAACAAGAGCATTCTTTTAGTAATGCTGAAACAATGGAAAGATATCAAAAAAAATAAAAAAATATTTACTCATTTAGCTCATAGGACATTATGTAAGCAAAGTGAATAATATCTGCAGGTGTCCTTTGTTCATCTCTTTAAGTAAATTTAATGTTGTTGCCAAATTTCTTCAACATTGAATGCTCGGATCATTAGAAAATATAGTGTATCAAACTAGCATTGTAAAAATGCTTAAGGTAATGAATCGTGGCCACCTGTGGTTTTTGGTTTTGCTGTTGTAACATGGAAACTAGGTGTATTATGAAAATGTGATATATTATTTTGGTTTCACCATTATGATATTTAATACAAGTTTTGCACTGCAAAGCGTTTTATTTCTGGAAGAGACCTTGTGTTTCTTTCATATGACGTTATCTGGCAGGCATGAAGGTTGGTGGTTTTACTACTAGCCATAGCTGGTGCTTGCTCGGACATAATGCACAATGTAAGTGCTCATGAGGTCATCCTGCCCTCTGCTAATGTGGTCCTCCTTACTAAATGTTGTAAAGCCCCCATAGGTCATTTCACAGTGCAGTTATTACTTGACAAACACAATTTTGATTATAAGAGAGAAAAAAGTTGTATATAGACAATATACAGTAGAACTTCGGTAAGTCGAAGTTGGAGGGACTTGCGTAAAAACTTCGACACATCGGGACTTCGACTCATGAATCGGTCTGAATTTCATGACAAAATTTCAACCCGTGACTATCCCTTATTATAAGATCTATAACGTAACCTGTTTCATGTTTTTCTTTCATTCATTAATCTGATATTTTACATTATAAAATGATAAATATGACATGTTCAGTAACTTTACACGGCTAATGATTTGGACTCGCTGTTGACGTATACAATGAAGTTACAAAAGGCGTAACAATACGAAAGGGCAATAACTAAACCAGCTTATAGTAAATATTTCGCGTGTGATTATCACGCGACACCGGGTCACGGAAGTACACAAATGATAGTTCTTACTGTTCACATGTACTTTAAAAAACCGCTACCGCAATTAAAACAGAAATGATTAAAGCATTTATTCACACATTTAAACGCATACAAAGGCTGTTTGAACACTCGGCTGTGTAATTAACACATGTCACTAAAGTTGATCGAAAATCGTCTTCGCGGCCAGAAAAGGTGTGAAAATGTCTCGAGATCGAAAGTGTCAAAATAACAGAAGAACTTCGACTTATTTGTTGTAAATTGTACTAGATTTATTCTATACGGACCACGAAAAAACTTCGACACATCGAAAAACTCGACACATAAAATCTCGACTCATGAATAGTTTTTTATAAGGAATATATAAGGGAAAAAATCGGGACTTTCATTTTACTTCGACACATTGAGAAAATCGACTAATCGAAGTTCGACTCATGGAAGTTCTACTGTATGTTAAACGGTTGTTTTTAGCTCACCTGTCACAAAGTGATAGGGTGAGCTTTTGTGATCGCTTTTCGTCCAGCGTCCGTCCGTCCGTCCGTCCGTCGTCCGTCCGGCGTCCGTCCGTCCGTAAACTTTTGCTTTAAATGACATCTCCTCATAAACCACTGAGCCAATTTCATCCAAACTTCACAGGAATGTTCCTTTGGTGGTCACCTTTAAAAATTGTTCAAAGAATTTAATTCCATGCAGAACTCTGGTTGCCATGGCAACCGAAAGAAAAATCTTTAAATATCTTCTTTTAATAAAACCCTAAGAGCTAGCACTTAGATATTTGGCATGAAACATCTGCTAGTGACTGTCTACCAAGTTTGTTCAAATAAAAGCCCTGGGGTCAAAATTGGCCCCGCCCCAGGGGGTCATTGATTTTCCCTATATGCATATAGTAAAAACTTAAAAAATCTTCTTTTAAAGAACCCAAAGAGCTAGAGCTAAGATATTTGGCATGAAACATCTTCTAGTGAGTGTCTACCAAGTTTGTTCAATTAAAAGCCCTGGGGTCAAAATTGGCCCCGCCCCAGGGGGTCATAGATTTTCCCTATATGCATATAGTAAAAACTTAAAAAATCTTCTTTTAAAGAACCTAAAGAGCTAGAGCTAAGATATTTGGCATTAAACATCTTCTAGTGAGTGTCTACCGAGTTTGTTCAAATAAAAGCCCTGGGGTCAAAATTGGCCCCGCCCCAGGGGTTCATTGATTTTCCCTATATGCATATAGTAAAACTTTAAAAAACCTTCTTTTAAAAAACCCAAAGAGCTAGAGCTAAGATATTTAGCATGAAGCATGTTCTAATGGGTGTCTACCAAATTTGTTCAAATAAAAGCCCTGGGGTCAAAATTGGCCCTGCCCCGGGGGTCATTGATTTTCCTTATATGTGTATGGCAAAAACTTAAAAATCTTTTTTGAAAAAACCCATATAGCTAGAGTTTAGATATTAAGCATGAAACATCTTCTAATCAGTGTCTACAAAGTTTGTTCAAATAAAAGCCCCGGGGTCAAAATTGGCCCTGCCCCGGGGGTCATTGATTTTCCTTTTTTGTGTATAGCAAAAACTTAAAAATCTTCTTTGAAAAAACCCATATAGCTAGAGTTTAGATATTAAGCATGAAACATCTTTTACTAAATTTCTACAAAGTTTGTTCAAATAAAAGCCCGGGGGTCATTGTTTTTAACTATATGTGTATAGTAAAAACTTAAAAAATCTTCTTTTAAAAAACCCAATGAGCTAGAACTTAGATGTTTAGCATGAAACATCTTCTTATGGGTGTCTACCAAGTCTGTTCAAATAAACAAATAAAAGCCCTTGGGTAAAAATTGGCCCGGGGGGGGGGGGGGGCTTTATACAGGTGAGCGACCTCAGGGCCATCATGGCCCTCTTGTTTATGTTTAACAGGTAAAAATCCAGGTCTTCCCAAACTAAAAGCATTGTTTGTGACGGTGGATCCTGAAAGGGACTCTCCAGAATCACTAAAAACCTACCTGGCAGGTATCTCAACACTACTTTATTTGTCTGTATGAACAAATTCAATTTCTTCATCTATACTTTTTTATGGCAAATTTCTAGAAGTAATTTGGTTTTTTACTATGAAGAAAAGGTAAACATTTGTAAAGAACATTCAGATTCATGCTAATTTTCATGAAAGTTTTCAAAATGTGTTTGAAAGTTAAATATTGTCTGTTCAAGAAAGAAAGTAATATACACATCAAAAACGGCACTTGCAATCCATGTTAATCACCAAAACAAGGTCAAATGTGCAAAAATAGTTCTAACTATGTTAGTTATGCAGTAGAAATATGGCAATAAATACTGCAAAATCAGTCATTTATCACACAAATGATGTAAAATATGACTTGCATCTTGAATATTTTTACTTTTCTAAAGTTCATTTTTTCTCAATTCAGCTTTAAAGTAAGTGCAAAAAACAAACAAACAAAAAGCGTAGAATAGACTTAGTTCATTTATCTGACTCATCAAAAATAATAAACTTAGTTCATTTAAATGACACATCCAGGCATGATTTCACACCAACAGCTATTAAGTGTATTTAAAGACTTGTTATTGTTGTATGAATATTTCAAAAGCAATGTTAATCACACAGTTTTGTTTGATGATTTTTTTTCCAGAATTTTCAGACAAGATTGTTGGTCTGACAGGAAATGCTGATGAATTAAGAAAAATTTGGAATGCGTTTAAAGTTTATCATTCAATGGGTCCTAAAGATGAAGATGGGGATTATATAGTAAGTGGAGAATTGTTTACTTGAGGTCTTTCTCCACAAGTAAAGCTGGAGAGTCATCATTTTACTCTTCTGTGCTGATGGTATAAGGTGAAGTGCAGTAGTGGCCATTACTCTAGAGTAAGATTGTCCTTACCCTAGGTGTGTGGTATAATGTAAAGTGGCCGTTACCCTAGGGTAAGATTGTTGTTACCCCAGGTGTGTGGTATAATATGAAGTGGCTGTTACCCTAGGATAAGATTGTCGTTACCCCAGGTGTGTGGTATAATGTAAAGTGGCTGTTACCCTAGGATAAGATTGTCGTTACCCCAGGTGTGTGGTATAATGTAAAGTGGCTGTTACCCTAGGATAAGATTGTCGTTACCCCAGGTGTGTGGTATAATGTAAAGTGGCTGTTACCCTAGGATAAGATTGTCGTTACCCCAGGTGTGTGGTATAATGTAAAGTGGCTGTTACCCTAGGATAAGATTGTCGTTACCCCAAGTGAGTGGTATAATGTAAAGTGGCTGTTACCCAAAGTTAGATTGTCATTACACCTGGTATGTAGTATAAAGTAAAATGGCCATTATCCTAGAATAAGGTTGTTGTTACCCCAGGTGTGTGGTATAAAGTATAGTGGCCTTAACTCTAGAATAAGATACCTGTTACCCCAGGTGTGTGGTATAAGGTAAAGCTGCCGTTACCCAAAGTTAGATTGTCATTACACCAGGTATGTAGCATGAAGGAAAACGGCAGTTACCCTAGGATAAGGTTGTTGTTACCCCAGGTGTGTGGTATAAAGTATAGTGGCTGTTACTCTAGAGTAAGAATGTTGTTACTCCAGGTGTGTGGTATAAAGTAAAGTGGCTGTTACCCTAGGATACGGTTATTGTTACCCTAGGTGTGTGATATAAGGTAAAGTGGCTGTTACCCTTGGGTAAGATTGTCGTTACCCTAGGTATGTGGTATAAGGTAAAGTGGCCGTTACATAAGGTGTGCAATGTGAAGTAACTCTAACTTCTGATCCCTGGACTGAGAACAGGAAATTCTATGACAGGCATTGTTTTATCGATTTACCACCGAAATCAAACATGTTGCACTTCATATTTATTCCAGGTTGACCACTCTATCATCACATACTTGATGAATCCAAACGGGAAATATGAGGGACATTTTGCGAGAAGTAAAACAAACATAGATGTGGCCAATGCAGTAGAAAAGAAAATGAATATTTGGAAACCAAAATCATGATGACAGTGTTTCTTATATCTAGATTTAAAATACAATGTGTTTTCTTTCTTTAAATTTGTTACGTTCACATACAAATATAGTGGTTATTCTGTCAGAATGCAATATTGTTGCTGCCTCTTATTGCAATACTTTCTTCAAGTAACATTTTATGTAGGTTTAAACCTTGTTCATGAAAATTAAATTTCACTATTCATATATACATTTTTTAAAGGAACTCCACTTAGGTTCAAAAGCCTAAAAGTGTATATTTTTTTACACACATCAGCTGGGGTAGTAAAACAGGAAGACATAAAAAAATAATTAAGAAAATATACTCAGAAATGAGTTGAAAAGCGTATTTTTGTGCTATTTTTCATTTGATTTGATTGAAAAACGTTTAAATGCTTGAATAATTATCCTGGATAAACAGCGAATGATCTAAAATTTAGCCTACAATTTACTGATCTAGACCTACATCAAACTGAGCATTAATCTTTAAAAATTATTTCCAGTCTCGTCATATCAAAAAATCTCGGTGGAGTCCCTTTAAAGTTTTTTGAAATGTGATATACCCTGTTGTTAATTTGGAATTGTTCATTGTTCAGGAATTTTAACTTTCAAGACTATATACGAGAGAACATTAATATGGCATGGTTGCGCAGGCAGGCTTAATATTTGTGGCTTAGACAAACCAGCCTCTACACAAGGGTTTAAACATTTAAGAAACTCCACTGAGGTCCTAAAGCATAAAAAACATATCAATTTTGAAATTTTTTAGATAGATCATTTAGATAGATCAAGAGGGGCAGAAATATATCCAAAGGATAATTAAAAACATACTCAGAAATTAATTTTTGAAAATATATCTTTGTACTATTCATAGCGTAATTTTGGGTCAATTTTCATGATAAGAATAAGTATTCTGGAAAAAAACGGAGTGAGCCAATTATTTAAAATTTTGCATAAAAGTTATTGGTCAAGTCTTAAATCAAATAGAACATTAATCTCGAGTCTCCAGTCCTGTCATGCCAAAATAACCTCAGTGGAGTCCCTTAAGTGCTTTAAGTAAATTCTTTCTAAACTATTTCGTAAAATCACAATATTGTTTCTTTTGTTGCTATACAAATACAGTAAAAAGCTTCATTTGTTACCATTTTAAGTGTATTTTTAGCTCACCTGTCACAAAGTGACAGGGTGAGCTTTTGTGATCGCTTTTCGTCCGGCGTCCTTCCGTCCGTCCGACGTCCGTCCGTCGTCCGTCCGTCCGACGTCCGTCCGTCGTCCGTCCGTAAACTTTTACTTTAAATGACATCTCCTCATAAACCACTAAGCCAATTTCATCCAAACTTCACAGGAATGTTCCTTTGGTGGTCACCTTTAAAAATTGTTCAAAGAATTTAATTCCATGCAGAACTCTGGTTGCCATGGCAACCAAAAGAAAAAACTTTAAATATCTTCTTTTAAAAAAACCCAAAGAGCTAGAGCTTAGATATTTGGCATGAAACATCTTCTAGTGAGTGTCTACCAAGTTTGTTCAAATAAAAGCCCTGGGGTCAAAATTGGCCCCGCCCCAGGGGGTCATTGATTTTCCCTATATGCATATAGTAAAAACTTAAAAAATCTTCTTTTAAAGAACCCATAGAGCTAAGATATTTGGCATGAAACATCTTATAATGGGTGTCTACCAAGTTTGTTCAAATAAAAGCCCTGGGGTCAAAATTGGCCCCGCCCCAGGGGGTCATTGATTTTCCCTATATGCATATAGTAAAAACTTAAAAAATCTTCTTTTAAAGATATTTAGCATGAAACATGTTCTAATGAGTGTCTACAAAGTTTGTTCAAATAAAAGCCCTGGGGTCAAATTTGGCCCCGCCCCGGGGGTCATTGATTTTCCTTATATGTGTATAGCAAAAACTTAAAAAATCTTCTTTGAAAAAACCCATATAGCTAGAGTTTAGATATTAAGCATGAAACATCTTCTAGTGAGTGTCTACCAAGTTTGTTCAAATAAAAGCCCTGGGGTCAATATTGGCCCCGCCCCAGAGGGTCATTGATTTTCCCTATATGCATATAGTAAAAACTTAAAAAAAAATCTTCTTTTAAAGAACCCAAAGAGCTAGAGCTAAGATATTTAGCATGAAACATCTTCTAATGGGTGTCTACCAAGTTTGTTAAAATAAAAGCCCTGGGGTCAAAATTGGCCCCGCCCCAGGGGTGTCATTGTTTTTAACTATATGTGTATAGTAAAAACTTAAAAAATCTTCTTTTAAAAAACCCAATGAGCTAGAGGTTAGATTTTAAGCAGGAAATATCTTTTTGTTTGGTGTCTACCAAGTTTGTCCAAATAAAAGCCCTTGGGTTTAAATTGGCCCTGCCAAACGGGGGGGGGGGGGGGGGGGGGGGGGGGGGGGAGGTCATTGTTTTTTATTATATGTGTGTAGTAAAAACTTAACATTATGAAACATCTTCTAATGGGTGTCTTTCAAGTTTGCTCAAATTAAAGTGCCTATATACAGGTGAGCGACCTCAGGGCCATCATGGCCCTCTTGTTTATTATTTTGCGACAAATTACAGATATGTGTTTTGAAGATATTGAACTTGCATAATTTATTATTGGAGCTTCAGGAATTCAAGTAAAAGATACAAGTTACAATTAGAAGGATATTTGATAATTAAAATAAAAATTATGTGATCTGATAAAAAAAGACATCATTCTTCTGAGTCATGATGTTGTTTTTATGGTTTTCTATAAAAAAAGGTGAAATGAAATTGTGTTATTTACTTTATTTTTATCCATTAACACTGAGATTCAAACTGGTACCGTTAAAGTAAAAACCATATGCAGAAGTTAAAGAAGAAAGATATCCAGAATTGAATTAAAAATCAACATTTTATTTGATAATTGGCACAATTAGAGTTAAAATATTTTGAATGATTTTCTATTTTATGTCATTTTGCACAATAAAAATCATAATTCTTGAAAAATGACTGAAAGAGGGAATGACTGGATATATTTTTATAAGTTTGTTTGGCTAGATGTACATCATATGGTACACAAATCTTGGAACATTATTTCCTGTCCTTTTCATGTCAAAAAAACTCAAAAACTCTTGGTGGAGTTCCTTTAAACAAGGGTCACCATGGAATAGTGGTAAATGTTCCTGAATTTGAACTATTTGCCTCTCACAGCTGCGGGTTTGAAATTCACCATACAGGAACTCTGCACTCTTGTATGTGAGTAAGTTGTTGAAAATATTTGTATTTCTACCCAGAAGCCCACTAATGCTAGGAAAAATGAATGGACTTCTTTTAGTAGTATATAGCTAGAAAGCTGGTGCTAGTGGGCGTTTGGGATGTTGCATTTTTAGCTCACCAGAATTAACCAAAGACTAAGGGTGAGCTATTAGTATCAAAGGGGGATGCTCCGGCGTCCGTCGTTATGCGACAACAATCGTCTTCTTCTCTGAAACTAATGAGCAGATTTACTTCAAATTTGGTTTGTAGCATCCTTGTGACAGTCACACTTGAATTCGCTCATGTCATTCCAATTGGCCCCTTTTAGGGGTCAGCAGAGCTAAAAATAGAAAACATTTAAACATCTTCTTCTACAGAACTAATTGATGGATGATCACCAAACTTTGTCTGTAGCATTCTTTGGTAATCTTTTATCAAGTTTGCTCATATCAATTTAATTCGCCCCTTTTATGGGCCACTAAAGCTAAAAATGGAAAAAACCTTCGAATATCATTTCCTACTGAAATTATTTATATATGATCACCAAACTTTGTAGCATTCTTAGGTAGTCTTTTATCAAGTTTTTCTCATATTAATTTGATTAGCCCCGTTTAAGCTGAAGCTCAAATGCCCCAGGTCATGGCATTTCTTCAAGTTATTGTTTAAACATATTCTATGCTTAAATTTAATATTAGAATATATTGACATTCTAACACTGAAAAGCAGTTGTTTCTGGTGAGTGACTCAAGGCCATCATGGCCCTCTTGTTTAGTTATCTCTCATGTTCGGACTCCATCAAACCGAGTCTGCAATTTTCATATAATTTAGTTGTGATTTATACTTCCGAGGGGTCATTCTTACCATCCGGTTAGCTCAATTGATAGATCGTTGACTTGGGCGACCCGGGTTTGATTCCAAAAGATGCAGGTCACTTTCGTTGTTGACTTGATTGTTTAGGACATTATTTCTATCGTCGTTCACGCTGTACCTTTGTTCTGGCATGTACGGAGATGATACTTGTATCCATGCGAAAGTGAGGGCATCTAGTACTGATCAAACTGTTTAACAACCTGCCCAGGAACGATTCGGTAGCTTGATTTTAACCTTAAAGAAAGCAGCATGCCTCCAGATGAGCTTAAGTATGTCAATAAAATGTACTAATATTTTTTTTTTAAAAAGTGAAAACATTCACGATTCAAGTAATAATTTACACGTTTTGTACGATTAATGACTAATTTTTCAGTTTTTATAGCAATATTTTTACTGCGTTCCTAACGCAGTAAGGGTTATTTTTGTATATTTTGACCTCATTATGGTAATTTACGTGGGATGCAAGTGCCTTTGATAATGTATTAATTGCTTCCTTTTGGTTACTTCAAAATATTTTGCTTTTAAATACGTTTTCAAAATGTTCAAGAAAATATTATGCATCTGGAGGCATGCTGCTTTTTAACTGCAAATAATATTGTAATGGTGTTTGTAGTAGATCAAGCATTCTGTTATACATTGTATGTACAAACTATTTTCACGTTTACACCAGGCCATTAATGTTCCATTTTATAACCGAACATAACAAGGCGTCTTTCTATAGAATTTGAACCAATATCTAATATTATTATTTTCCAAAGTGTAATGTGACCTAGTGACCAAACGGACTCCATGCAAAGCCATTTTTTTTGCAGGAAAACAGTCGGTCGCAAGTTCTTCATATCTCAGATCGTCTTGCTAAGAGGCTTATTTTACCTTGTATGTCTCATACAATTAAATGTTACAGTGACTCAGTTTCACATGTGAAGAAGTTGGCAGTTACTTGCGACCGGGAAAGCAGAATGGCACTAGTACAGACAGCAAAATTTCTGGTTTGGTAACTTCTTGCTTATGTATGATGAAAATATTATGGAAAACCTATTGTTAAACTGACATATTTTGTATAAACAAAAAAAAAAAAAAAAAAAAAATGAAAGAAAGAAAGAAAAGAAAAGAAAAATGAGAGCAAAAACTGTATGTCTTTCATAATTGAATTACTGCGTGTCATAATTGCAGTCGCCAACTTATCTTGTGAAATACTGACGAAAACTGAGTGCAATTTTCTTACATGTCATCGTATAGCAGGTCATTGCTGATAATAAATTAAACTTCAAGGCGTCTGAGGTAATGTTGACTTTTTTATTTATGTTTAAATAATATTATTATATTATTATTCGATCTATTGTATGATTATTCGATATATCACATATAATAAATTATAAATAGCTTACCCGTTTATATCTGCATCCATTGGTTCAAATCCTAAGTATTCACGTGATATTCATTTCTTTGACAATTTTTGTAAGATGCAATATGCGACTATATATATCTGAATGATACCGAATGTTCATAAATTCTTGCTTGAAAAGGTTTTTTTTTTCAAAATAAAGATCGTTCCTATGTATCCGTCAATCACCTAACGCCTTCATAACTTTACTTAAACCTTTTTGATTTTTATGCTCCCCGAAAAATTAAGGGGGAGCATATAGTCGGCGCCTTGTCCGTCCGTCCGTCCGTCTGTCCGTCCGTTTTCTTGTCCGGAGCATAACTTGAAAACCCTTGGAGATAATTTGTTTAAACTTCATACAGTGGTAGAGGGCATTGAGGGGGAGTGCAGTGTCAAAGAACCATAACTCTATTTTGTCCGGTTTTTGAATTATCTCCCCTTATAGAAAAATCTTGTCCGGGGCATAACTCTAAAACTATAAGAGATATCAACATGAAACTTTGTAGGTGAATAGATCTCAATGGGTAGATGTGCAGTGCATAAGAACAATAACTCTTTTTGTCCTAATTTTGGAGTTATTGCCCTTCGTTAATTTCAACACTTTGAACTTTGTCCGGAACATAACTCTAAAACTATAAGAGATATCAAGATGAAACATTGTAGGTAGATAGATCTCATTGAGTAGAAATGCAGTGCAAAAAACCATAACTCTGTTAAGCCTCATTTTTGAATTATCTCCCCTTATAGAAAAATCTTGTCCGGGGCATAACTCTAAAACTATAAGAGATATCAACATGAAACTTTGTAGGTGAATAGATCTCAATGGGAAGATGTGCAGTGCATAAAAACAATAACTCTTTTTGTCCTAATTTTGGAGTTATTGCCCTTTGTTAATTTCAACAATTTGAACTTTGTCCGGAACATAACTCTAAAACTATAAGAGATATCAAGATGAAACATTGTAGGTAGATAGATCTCATTGAATAGAAGTGCAGTGCAAAAAAACATAACTCTGTTAAGCCTCATTTTTGAATTATCTCCCCTTTTAGAAAAATCATGTACTGGACATAGCTGTAAAACTATAAGAGATATTAACATGAAACTTTGTAGGTAGATGTATCTCAATAGGTAGAAGTGCAGTGCACAAGAATCATAACTCTGCCTTGCCTAATTCTGGAGTTATTGCCCTTTGTTTATTTTTACTTTTTGAAGTTGTCCGGAACATAACTCGGAAACCATAAGAGATATCAACAAGAAACTTTGTAAGTTGATAGTTAACAGTGATTAGAAGTGTAGTACAAAGAACAGTAACTCTGCCTTTCCTAATTTTGGAATTATTGCACTTTGAACTTTTTCCAGGGACATAACTCTGAAACTACAAGAGGTGTACTTTCCTGTGTCCAAAACCTATATGGGGAGCATCACCCGGCTTAAACCGGACTCTTGTTTTTATATTGTTTTAGAGATAAATCTCTAATGCCCCGGTCACATATTCACGGATAATGCCACGGAAGAGCTACGGTCAAATCGTTCACGGATTACTATGGAAATGTGAAATTCCGTAGTCCGCTACGATTCCAGTACGGACACACAACGGTATGAGTACGGAGTCCGACGGATTTACCACCAAAAGCCCCTGGAGAGACGCGGACTGTTACGGACCGACACGGTTTGATACGGAGCGACACGAATCAGGACGGACGCACTACGGATACACTACGGTCTGCTACGGTATAAGCACGAGTTAGTACGAATAAGTACGGTCTGATACGGAGAAGAACGTATTGATACGAAGAAGTACGAATTGCCACGGATCTATACGAACCTAATACATCCGTCCACAACCTCTTGCTTGCTCATTTTCAAAATGCCCCAAAAGAAAATAACACCTAGAAAACGAATTGCAGCGTTCAATGATTTTGGCGGAGAGGATTCACCCTAATCGCGTCCGAACCCCGAGACACATCAGGTCCAATTAAAGTGAATTTATTGAAGGACGCTGGATCCTCAACAAGTTCGGCCATGAGAGCCTCATACTAAACATGAAGCGGTCTTCGTTAAAGCCCATCTCTAGTCCACCATCTCGTCTGTCTTCTCTTACCTGATTAGATATGGACTAGTAATCATTAATGAAAAATGTTGATCAATACTGCTTCTCTTTTAATTTTAAGATTTGCTGTTCATCTTACAATTACATTAATTATCGTGATGTTTATGTAAAAAGCTTGTGAATTAATCTTATTATCACTGAAGGGCCAGTGTCCGAGGCTTATGAGACACTTCGTTTTATGTACATATTTACTCCATTTTCACGATCCAATGTTTGTAAAATATGTAACATTAAATGTTATAATTCTATTACTTATGAATTGTAGTACGATATTAATATATTTTTACCTCTATGCATGTCATCAAGCAGCTTGACCACTGCCTCCGCATTCTGAGCCATTTCAATATAAAGTTGCAGCCAGTAAATGGCAATTATCATTTATTAAATGTTCCTGCAAATATATATGTCTATTTTTAACCAGAAGGTAGTATTTATACCCTTGAAAAAGTACATGATTCTTAATTCATCCGTACTAAACAGTGGTGGGCCGTACCATTCCGTACTGTTTCGTGTTTCAACGCAATAAACCGTATAAGACCGTGCTAATCCTTGCCTCTCCGTTGTCAAACTCCTCACAGTGATTACCTCCCTTGGCAGAATTGTAATCACTGCCTTCAAAGACGTCACATGATGATGAAAGTCACATGACGTAACGTCGAAAGGCTGTGACTAAAAAAAGGATTGGAGCACCACACTAAATACCGTATTCCGGTATATACCGGACAAGGCGCTTGAATGATAAAATGCTAAAATCTTGTCTTTTTACCCAACGGAATGAACTTTAACAGGTCTAATTCATCTTTTCACACCGAATCAAGTACGATAATCAAGGAAAAATGTAAAATTCGGCGAAAAAAACGATATTTGTCTATTTTGTGATCATGATTTCTGCAAGCATCTAGAGGTACTGCTCCAATCCTGTATTGAGCTAAATCCACGTCGAAATTCAAATGTAAATATCGACCGTTACAAAGAAAATCTAACGTTATTTTTCTCTTTCTGTTTTATTTTTAATCTTTAATGCCTACGTTCGATATAGTTTATCAAAAAATTATCGAAAGTATACAAAATAACGAAAAATAAATTCAAAAGCTAAAAAATATAAAATATCAAAATATTGTCTCGGTAGAAAATAATCTCATAATTTTTAAAATTATTTCTAAATATTCATATTATTTATTTATTTATTCATAAACATTGTTAAATAAATGAGAGAAAACTTATCTGATAGATAAAAGCAGTAGATAAAACAATTTTTAAAAAAATATAGTATATCAGAAATTCTGATATATCGAGACCTTGGTGGCAGAGATCTACGCCGAAGAATTAAGGGGAGATCACTGCGTGGAGATTGCTCCGTTGTACAACGTATTACGATAGTGGCTTTCCGTGACAATGCCGTATTAATCCGTATTAAAACCGTAGGTTATACGTAGGGTAACCGTACAAATACGTAGTTCTCCGTACCAAACCGTGGAAATCCTTGACAAGTTGGTGGACTACGAATCAGTACGGACTATAACGGTTTTCGTACGGACCAGTACGTATCAGTACGGATTACTACGGACTAGTAGGGATACGCTACGGTTGATTTTTCCGTAGCAAATTTTTGTGCATGTTCAAAAATTGTCAAGGATCGCTACGGATATACAAGGACTACTACGATTGATTACGGTTACAATACGGAGAGCTACTGACCAGTACGGGTAGCTACGGACGATGCCGGAATTAATACGTGGCTCTTCCGTGGGCGTATTCCGTGAATATGTGACCGGGGTATAAATTTCGTCGCACCAGTTTTACAAAGTCCTAAATGCAAAGGAAATCGACTATTAAAGTTTTAACAATGTGTCACAATCTTGAGTTGACTGCAGCGTTTTGTTGTTAGAATGGGCCCAAATTACTAAGATTGGAAATGATCATATAGAGTTTTTTTTTAACATGACAGGAATGGGAATATTTTTTCGTTTTTTTCCAGAACTATCATTTTTATTGTTTTAAAACGCTTTTAACTCAAATACGGCTGTGAATCGCATTTCAATTGGTTTTATATTAGAACTGGAGTATCTTTGCAATTGTTTCCGTTCAAGTCACAGGTGTTCGGCGCGTTGATCTGTCACTACCCCTCCCCCTTACCCACTCTAAAACCATCCTATATCTCCCAAACAATGTAATCTGTATTTACCTCTAAAATAAAAAAGATATATAATAAGTGACACGAGTGATCTATGCAAGAATTTCATTTTTTTAAGTTTTGTGCCTGGGGGAGTACATATTGTATTTGATACTGAGACAACAATTTTATAATACTGACACGACATTTTGTTATACTGACACGACAATTTGTTATACTGACACGACAATTTTGAAACTGACACTACAATTGGTTATACTGACACGACAATTGGTTATACTGACACGATCATTTATGATACTGACACGACCATTTTGTAATACTGACACGCCCAATTTGTAATAGTGACACAACCATTTTGTAATGCTGACACGACCATTTTGTAATACTGGCACGACTATTTTATCATACTGACACGACCATTTTATTATACTGACACGACTAGTTTATGATACTGACACGACCATTTTGTAATACTGACATATTTTTTTTGTAAACTGACACGACCATTTTGTAATATTTACACGACTTTTTAATCTTACTGATACGACCATTTTATTATACTGACACGACTATTTTGTAATACTGACACAACTATTTTGTAATATTGGCATGACCATTCTATGATACTGACACGAACATTTTGTAATACTGACACAACTATTTTGTAATATTGGCATGACCATTTTATTATACTGACACGACCATTTTGTAATATTGACACGACCATTCTATGATACTGACACGAACATTTTGTAATATTGACACGACTATTTTATAATTTTAACACGACTCTTTTGTAATATTGACACGACCATTTTGTTGTATTGACACAACCACTTTTAATATTGACAAGACTATACTGACACGACTATTTTGTAATTCTGACACGACAATTTTTGATACTGACACGACCATTTTGTAATATTGACACGAATATTTTGTAATATTGACACGACTATTTTGTTATATTGACACAGCCATTGTAATACTGACATGACTATTGTGTAATACTGACACGACTATTTTGTTATATTTGCACGACTATTTTGTAATATTGACACGACTATTTTGTAATACTGACACGACCATTTTATGATACTGACACGACCATTTTGTAATATTTGTTATTTCTGCAATAAGAAACAACAAAAAAAAAACAAAAACAAACAAACATCCTTTAAATAACAAAACTAGTGCAGTTAACTTTAAAGAAGCACGCTACCAGATTTTTATTGATTTTATAATGTTTTTGTGAGTGCATAATTATATATGATCCCAAACGTACAAGTAAGTCATTTAATCCGAACCAACCCGAAAATATATGTACTTAAATGTACTATCCACGGAAATATGTACAAATTTCACTTTCTCCAAATCAAATTTTGTTAAAATTTTCTTTACTTTCTTTGCAGAAACAATATGCGATTTGGACTTCTAGTTTTGTGTGCTCTGTTGAAGACGGCCTGGTGTGATTACAAGTGTATATGTAGTTATGTGGTGGAACGTGATGTATATTCTATGGTATAAACATTCCGAATCACAACACATATATTTCTTGTTGTTGTTGTTTTTGTTGTTGTTTTCACACCAACACTGAAAAGGTCATATGGTGACTTTTCAGTTTAACTGGTACAGGAAGAGGTCAGGTGGCACTTCATTCATTATTTTAGGTACAAGAGGACCTGAGTTGAACGCGATTTTAGCGCCTTTCTAATAATCAGTTAAACTTGTGACGGCATTAAAATAATGATGGTAGAGGAATTTTCTCTTTACGTGTGTCTATTTTATAGATAACGCTGTAAAATTTTTCCTTTTATAATAATAATAATAACAGGAAGTTCAATTTCTATACAGACTGACTAGTAAAATACAAGATGGATGATTTAGAAATATAATCTGCTGATAGTTTCTTTTATAGGGGATGACCTTATTTACTTTCTAGCGTTCAGTTCCATTTCCGTGTATTATTGAAATTTCCTAAATGAGTCGATTAACAACAAACCGAACAAAAATAGTTCATCTTGCACAGTTTACGAACGATATCCTTTTAATATTCAAATTCATAGAAACTATTAACATAGATCAACGTACATTTGTTTGAAATTCGTGCCTGTTTTTTTGGAAGATGTTATGTTAATTTTCTTTAAAATATTATTACAGTTGAAGGAAAGTTATTAGTTTTTTTACAATTGACCTTCTTCCACTTGTAAAATTAATCTTTTGTTGCTTTCAGCCATCAAACGACAGCGATTCGATTGGCTACCTGTACGAGTTTGACTGTAAGCCGTTTATCACTGAAGACGCAGACTGGTTTACAGTTGCATACGAACACAAAGTAACTAGTTTTTGTAAAAGTTCAAACTAGAAGAAACATGCATCATCGTAACTATTTTTGTTAGGAGCAGTTGGCGAGGCGTTGAAGGAAGATGGCGTTGACATGTACAAGAACACTTGACGAAAGCTTTATATTTGTTCGTTTCTTAACTTTGCATAAAAAATTATTCAGTTTTCGCAGACAGGGAGACTGCGGATCCATTTTAACACTTAGCTATGGTTACGTTCACATTTTGCATGCACTCTTGTAAGGCCAATAACATTGTTTATTGGATACGATTATCACTATCAAATCTAAAGTTACAAGTACATTTGAGCCGTGTCACGACAAAACCAACATAAAGCGTTTGCGACCGGCATAGATCCAGACCAGCCTGCGCATCCGCGCAGTCTCTCTACTTGTTATAGTTCAGTTTCTCTACTTGTTATAGAGTTGGTAAGCGAACAGCATGGATCCTGATCAGACTGCGCGGATGCGCAGGCTGGTCTGGATCCATGCTGATCGCAAACCCATTATGTTGGTTTTGTCGTGACGCGGCTCATTTGTATCATTCATAAATAAAACGTATCTACATAGGACGCATTGATTCTGTTTAGCATTGGAAAAAGTTAAGAGGTAAAATGTAATCTTTTTATTTTCAGTTGGGTTATGTTAAGAAAGGTGACAAAATTGTGATTCAAACTTGTCCCGGGCAATACCCGGATGCTGATAAGAGTAAGTGTACATAATAAGTGTGCATGTATAATATAAGTGTACATTATAATGTTCATGTATAATAATTATAAGTCCAAGCAAATGTAGGTTTGTACATTACTTTAATCCATAGAGAGTTTCGTTAGTAAAAAGTAAAAACGATAACAGTCGTTTTTCTTGGGTAATAATAATAATAATAATAATTATAATTACAATAATAATAATACTTGACTATTCCTGAGTATGATTTTATATAAAAAGATAGTCAAATTTCGTTTAGCAAAATAATTATGTTGTTATGCATACTTTCATTTAGAAATACATAATGAGAGAAGGACAGACCTGAAATTGTTAACACTCGGTATGTTTCCTAAAAGTATTTACTATCAACTTCAGAAAATAATTGAAAATATTGTTCTCATTCGTCTGTTCTATTTAGTCACGAATAGCACCGTTTCTCCAAGTTCAAATTCCTACACTGTTGAAGCGAGTGTCCCATCAGCCGACGCTACCGAGCCACCTGCTGAACTAGCATCTACGCATGCGCCAACTACAGTTGAAGTACACACTTTCACGACCACACAAAGTAACGCGTTTTTATATACTTTTTTCTGTTTTTGTTCCCTTTTGATTATTTATTTTGCTTTTCGGTGGACCATATAGTTTTCAGATGCTCCTTTGTTGTTCATTCTATCCGTCCTATAGCTCCTTTCGCCGTTTATAATATACCTTCTTTCGTCTATAACTCATTTTCGTTATATCCGCATTTTTAGACTGATGTATTATTTCTTACAATTATACATGTATATTTGAATGTAGAAGTTCTTAAAAAGTAAATAACTTGTGAATTGAATATTAAATGAATGATACTGGTAACCATTAATAATGAAAGAAAAGTAGTACTTGCAGTAACGCCATCTTGCTATGTAATTAGTAATTCACATGCAATTGTATATATCATGAAAGCTCTTTTGAGAGTTAATATTCAGCTTTTTCTTCTCCTTTTGTAATTCTAGTATTTGGTATTCTGGCAATGTTTCATTATTTTCGATTTTCAAGACAATCTAGTCAAGATCAAGACCACATGGTCATTGTAGCCAATTTTTATCCAATTCCCGTATTGGAGTCATATTTTATCTTCGCTATTGCAACATAATTGAGACGCTGAAATATAAATTCACGTTTCTGATCTTACATTTTTTTTCACAGCTGTAAATTATTGTTCCCATACAAAACATCATTTGAATTTCTTCATCTATAATTTACATGATTTAGAACAATTATATTTTTTTCCCGATTGAGCTTAGGAACAGGAGCAGATGATTGCCAATCGTTTGGGATCGGCCAAAGTTTATTTTTTAAATTTTATTGTATAGTTTAGACGTTTTTTTGACTTCAGATTGTTGTTGATCTTTTGTGAATATCCTAAATTTTTCCAACATAGGATAGAATTAAGTGGAGCTGATCCCGGAAATAATCGTATTTAAGCGTATCTGATTATACGCTTTATTTGTAACTAAATGCTATTCTAAATGTTCTTAAATGATTCTAAAATCAATAAATAAGTAAATAAAAGCGGGGATATAGGGGCTGCAGCCCTAAATAAACGAATGTGCTAATATTGTTTTTTTCCTGGTGTACGCTAAACTCCATGTGTTCCCAAAACATCACACAAAGTGAAATAAGGAAAACAAAATTAACGTCTGGATAGAGAAACAGTTAAAGATAGCGAACTGATTTCAATTTGATAAGCAAATGATATACCTTGGTTTCGACAGTGCAATATGGAATGAAACCGAGCGTATCCGTACATTTCGTTGGAGAAGGTATAAAACGTGTAGCTCCCTTAAATTTTTGTACAAAATTGCACATGTTATAAGGAAAAACAGGGTACCGGCAATTCAACCGAAAGTCAAGAAAGTTTTTGTGTCCATTTTTTCCCTTGTTCATTCAAATATTGAGATTGGAGCGTTTTCGAATTAAATACCCGGTTTGTCTATTTATTGTTACACCCATCTCTTGTTTTGCGCCAGTCGTTTATTGTACCGACACGTAAATGTGTCACAAAATATGTTAACTAGTAATTAGAAACATGGATAAAACAGCCACCATTAACCCGTATTGCCATTTCTCTTTATTTGATATGTTGTGTGATATGTCAAATATAATGATACAGCGTGAATAAAACATAATATTAACAGTCTCCACACTTTCTTCACCCATCTGTAGGTGCTCTACAAGCTTGTGCGGCGCTTACCCATCAATCCAGTACAGCGTTTGCAAATAATAACTTTTGCTACGAACTGGTCACACTACACCAAACATTTTCCGATGCTGAGAGAGAGTGTATGAGAAAAGGAGGGCATTTAGCCCATATCCAAAGTATGGAGGAGCAAGCGTTTCTGACGAGTAATCTTCAGCATTTCGTTGGTGATTCTTACATTTGGATAGGTTTACAAGACACCGGCCGTGAAGAGCACTTTGAATGGACTTCCGGTAAGCCTAGTTCCATTTGAAGCTGAATTTGTGGTTTCTTAATAAAGTCCTTTTCATTTCAAAGTAGGGTGAATCCATTATACTTTTCAGTAAATAAACTCAAATTCATCAAGTTAATGGTTAATTAACACTTTTATTTCAGGGGAACCGTTATCATTTACGTATTGGTATCCGTACCGGAAGGACCTTTTTCTTCATAATTTTGAGGATTGTGTTGCTATGAGAACGCATAACTTTGTGAAAGTCTTTGATGGAGAATGGGAAGATTTGCCTTGCAGCAGGGCTCACTCATATATCTGTCAATTTGGTAAGTATATGTCGATTAATATAAGTCTCCATCAATTTGATAAGTCTCTTTTGAATTGGTAAGTGTCTGAAAAGGAGCAGTTTACCTGTCAACTTGGTGTTTGTCGGTTTATAAATTCTACATTAATATTTTAAAACTCCATTAATTTACTTAGTTTCCATTTATTAAGTAAGTCTAAATCTAGATTTGGTAAGTGTCTGAAAAGTTTCAGTTCAGTTATATATCTGTCGATTTGGTGTTTGTTGATTTATTATGGCTACATCAATTTAGTAAGTATACATCAATTTGGTAAGTTTCCATCTATTTGGTAAGTCTCCATCGATTTGGTAAGGGCCTGACAATTAATCAGAAGTAGAGTTTTCTCTTATATCTATACATTTGGTGTTAGTCAATTTAGTAAATCTCTATTAATTTGGTTAGTGCCTGGCAATTTGGTTAATGTCGTTAAATATCTTTCAGTTTGATACCTTTCCCTCAATATGTTGACAGTTAAATTGATAAATGTCAGAAAGTTTGGTAAATACTTGTCAATTTTGTTTGTTCCACTAATTTGTTGAGTGTCTGTCGATTTGGTTAAAGTCTGTCATTATGGAACATGTCTATCTGTTTGGTAAAATCTCCAAATTTGTAATAAGGTGTTAATTAAATTTAGAAAGTTTCTGTCAATTTGGTGTCTTGTTAGTTTTCAAAACAGTGTTACATTAACAATAGATATTTTCAAGAAGTTAACGATATTAACATAGGCTGTCACTCAGGTCAATATTACCGTCTGAGATTGAGAATCCGGTGCCTTAGTCCTTTATAATACGATTATACGAATATAATATTTCATAAAGCTTCTATGCAAGTGCAATGCTGATAATTTTCTAAAAAGTTATCAACAAGGTGCAAAAGTATTGACAGAAATATTGTTGACCTATTTTTGCACATAAAATGGACAGGTTCAGGTACACGTGCAATTATATGTTTTTTATATCCCTACAATGCATTGAAATAAATGTCATCATTTCAGATATTCAATCTGGACTGAACGTGTTCGGGTGAGATCTGAGCTGTCGTTTAGAATTCGACAATGACCACATGTTTTGTAACATGATATGCTATTAAAAAGTGTATTTTGAATATATATTTATTTTCTTTTTGCTTCCTATACATGACACCCAATGGAAATAGCCAGAGTACCCTTGTCATGTATTATTGTTGCTTAAACATCTTTGGTCCGAGTTAATATAATTTTTTTCCATGCTCAAACTTAAAGTAATATAACTGATAATAACTCAAGTATTTGATTTGCCAGAAAGACACAACGAATATACCAAGGTACACTGACCAACTGATCTCTAAAAAACGTCGACTGATGTCTTTAGATAAGTCAGCTTGTTAATTGTGGCACACTTTTATATATACTACGTATTCAAATGCAAAAGACTGCAACGTCAAAAGTCGATAATTAAATTCATTGTACCATCAACCGAATTATCTTGAAATTAAAACTGGAAGACGTATTTCATCAAAGTGAATAACCGTAAGTTCTCGTTTGAGATATGGGACACACATAGGTTTTATCATGCAACAATGGAAATGTATGGTCTCCAAATACCAATGTTTTATATTGGTTGATGTATTTAACACAAACGTATCCAAAAAAACCTGCAGAATTACACTTTTGATCTTTCAAAGTGTAAAATCAAATTGGGGATCGAAACATAATTATGTACCTTCTAGAGTTGTGTTACTGGGATATTTTGCTACTTTCACTTTGACAGTTAAATTGTAGGTACGTTTGACACCCTCTGCCAAACGACATTCTGTAGAGCACAATCTCTTTCAACAGTATCAGTTTCTCCAAAAGTACCATTTCGTATTAAGTTAAATCTCGGTGGAGGAACAATACATTAACAATAATCTTTGTCTCTCAAAAGGTTTTGTTATGTAGAAGTTGTTATTAGACATATATACAACCGAAGTAAGATCAAGGAACTGGTGAAGATTTTATTTGCCTTTTAACCTGGGAACTACTCTTTTAAATCTAAAGACCCTGTAGGTTGTAGTTAAGGATGTAACAAGACTTAAGAGAAATTTTATATTTGTATATATTTATTCTTCTAAAACAAATTCCAAACATCCGAGAATATGTTAAATATGAATTGCAAATGTGTATACGCATTATAAGTAATTATTGAAATATATGCATTTATTTCGTATTGAAAGATTTGGCTTAGACTTTATCGAAAACAAATTTCTAATTACCTCCCTTTATTTACATGAAATGCAAATTCATGCGATAATGAAACTTCAGGATTACGAACCTTGGTGACTACGAACCTTGAGGAAATACGAACAACATTGTGAACTTCGAACCTTGCGGACAAAAACTCTTTGGACTTAGAATCTTTAGGATTACAAACATTGTGTATTGAGAAGTTTTACGACTACGAAATTTGAGGAAGACAACTTTCGCCGTTTTTGCAGTTGTATACTTATCCTTAACTGAGCTTCCATACCTTAAGGGATATGTAGCATAAGATATTCTTAATGAAACAAAAATGACGTGAAAACTAAACTTTTTAAGGAGTCTTTTATATTGGTCACTTTGCGAATAAAATCATAGTTGTTTACATATTTGTTAAAAAGTTTAGAAGATATAAAAGTAGGACACAATAATCTTTATGACTAGATTATAGAAAAAGTTAATATGATTTGAGATGAATATGCATTTATTAATTAATTAATCAATTAATAAATATTATATCCCCTGTATCTGAGATGTGATATAGAATGTTACATTTGTATACTCATTTCGGTGACTACATATACTACATACAGACTAGTGCTGACAAATTTCAGCTGGCACATTTGTATCACCTGATCATTGCCTGCTCACTTCGCCATCAGTCACTTCATATCTTGAAATGTCCCTTATAAGATTTTGAAGATGGACGAGTCCATTTAATATATTTAGCATGGTAAGGTTTATAAAAGATTGCGAAACATATTTAGACGACTAAACTAGCGTCTGTAGGCCTTGCTCCTGCTTATTTCGTTTAAAATACAGGACATGTAGATCTTCAACTATATTGTATAAGTAATTAAGTGGTATAGGATGACCTTATGGACGTTATCTAAAGTTGTGACAGATATCACCATTTCTATGCCATATCGGGATTTTGAGCAGACTTGAAATTAGACCAGCTAGGTTCTTTCAGGATAGGCAAGTAATGTTTATGTTATACATAACCCAATAAACCACATAGGAAAACATAATTAATATTTTTTGTCATTTGCAAGCTGGGGTAATTGTCGTCTGCTTTTTGTCAAACATTGTATTAGTTTAATCACTTTTGTTTTTGACAAGACGCTGCTGTATTCGGGTTCTGGTTTGGTTTCATGCTGCTGTATACGTATTATTATGTATTCTTTAAAAAAATCCTATTTAACGCGAAGCTTTATAAAGGTAAAAATATCAGTCCGAGATCCAAAATAGGAGTCCGAGACCAAATAAATGTAGCCCGAGACCAAAGGATAGGATTCCAAGAGAAAATATCAGGAGTCCAAATATAAAATAAACAGAAAGCAAATTTTAATGTCGGTCGTATGTTTATTTATAAGGTTTCAAAAGTATGTAACATTCATCCAACTTGTGTTGCAATCAAAATAATGCTTACATCTATTCAAACAGGTTTTACGTAACACTTAATGTTTACCAGTACCATGCATATTCTTTTAAATTCGTAATATTGAAATACCTTCTGTAGCTAGTTTATAGATACTGCACCTATGGGATTTGTTGTTCGAACCTGATTTTAGGCATGAACAAACAAGCAACTGCAAATATTTTCATACAATAAATTCTAAATATTCTCGAATGTTTCATTTTACAATATTCGACCATATGATAAGGAATTACAAATGAATTCAAGGTAAGACCCGGCTATTGTTACAGAAATTATGACCTTGACGGTTACCCTGGTGTTTGCCGCCTTTTTTGGTTTGGCTAGCTGTGATTACAAATGCGTATGTAATTACAACGTCGAAAAAAGTGTGCAGACATCCGTAAGTAGCTTTTATTAACATATTACATTATTGAACAACTGGCTGACTAGATCTCTAGCTAGCCGACTGACTGGGTTCTTTGTCCCATAGAAACAATAATACCATTTTATAATGTTTTTACACTTTTCATTGCTGTTTTCAAACAGTATTTGTCAAATTCTGATATCCCGTTTAACATACTAGCATGGTTGGTTCATAGATTTAATTCTTAAGAACTATTTTATTTTTTTATCTTTAGAGTTTTAAAATCTTTGAACTTTATCTAATATCTTACTGTTATATCATTAGCATATTGAATAACACAATCATGAAAAAATGATTCGGAAATATTATGATATAAAAGGGTATAGAGCTATGTATTATGAATATTGTTTTATTAAATTTATGAATTGTAAAATATATATATTTGTTCCATAATGATTTGGTCTATTCTCGAAAAAGTTGTAGAATAAAATGTCTGTTATTTAAAACTCATGAATATTTTACGTAAACAGAATAAAATGTTCCCGGAACAAAATAATTATAATCATGCCATTTAAGTAGGGTTTTATTCTTTTAGCAATGATAACATATATGTGCCGTAATTTTTTTAGGGCACTTTACTACATATACTTATTTCATAAAGAATTTTGGAAGTATCTTTAAAAATTCTTTCAAATTTTTGCTGCAGATATATATGTATAGCTTTATACACTTTAAAATCTATTTCATATTCGGGTTTGTTACACACTATCTGTATTTACAATCATAACAAAAAAGTAAATAATCTCCGTAAAAATCTGTTAAGCTCATGAATAAAAACGATGCTTATGATAGCATTTGAGAGTTTTTTTTCCATTTTTGTGATAGCTTTGCTTGGTATTTTTAGAAATGTCAACACATTATTGTACTACTAAAATCGAAGCCAACAGTATAAAGTCTAATTCAGCATTTTAATCAAAAAACAGTTCTGTTCCATTTTCATTTTTGTCATGTGGGTGATCTTTAAGCTTCTAATTTACTTCTGTATTTTATTAGTGTAACTAGATTAGATATCCAGACGTTACGACTTGTGCTTTTGTTTGTTTTAAAGCCATCTGTACAGAGCAATGTGATGGGTTATATGTATGAGTTTGACTGTAAACCTCAAGCCGGAGTGTCCGCTGATGCTGATTGGCTGCCAGTTGCCTACGAACACAAGGTAAAAATAAACGTTTTGTGTGGCGAAATAAATAAATAAATAAATAAAATTAGTTATATAAAAAAGCATGATGAGTTTGAATACAAAGTAGTTGGACAAGGTGTTTTCCGATAGGGGACTTTATAATCTTTAGCAGTAGTTTTATCTTTAATAAATTATTCCTGTTATGCTTTTTATGAACAATCACATTCATGCTCTTATCACAGAGTTTTAACTTTATTCTTATCCAAACACTTGTCATAGAAAACATATAATACAAAGGAGGACTCCAATATATGCGACATATGGGTATTTATTCTAGCTTTCATTATTTTTCAAAAAATAAATTGATATAGTTAAAACTTAATTTTAGCCATCCTTGCTCAATTCATTCCTTTTTCGAAAGCGTTATTACATTTTTGTACAGTCGTTATTATATTACTGGTTATTATATTACGACTAAGGTCAGTTTTCTTTAAAAATGACCCAATCAATGGCTTAGGGAGTGACGACAGTAGTTTAATTTGATTTAAAATTTATTCACGTTGGTCATAATTTGTCATGTGGGGAGATGAGTAACTATCATAGGTATATCCTAATATGTCATATGTCAGTTTATGATATAAGTTACAATTTGCGTTGCAGACGACATATTATCCGGAATATATGCAGTAGAACATATCAACTGCATATTTATGTATTTCAGTTGGGCTATGTTGAGGTGGATAGTCAGCTTCAGGTTCAAACATGTCCTGGTGCAGTTCCGGACGAGGATAAACGTATTCTTATTTATAACTTTTTTGTTTGGATTTTAAATCACATTGTTAAGATAGATTTATTGATTTTCTGCATGGAAGCATCCAAACTTTACAGGCATGATTATAACCCATTGCAGTCAGGGACATTGGCAAGTGGTTTGGAGTCAAAGACCTTGACCATTCGGTCATGTACACCCTTAACAATTACTTATTCCTTGTATGTTATGATAATTTCGGTATTATAGATCAATCATGAGAATATCCTAAACAGAGCTATAGATACTTTAACTTGTTAAACCGTTGATATTTTAATGATATTTCATTTTCTGATTAACTACTAAATCATTGTTTATGAGATGTAACTGTATGTTGCTTGGTTCTCTACGAGATATATTGAAATTCTAGCATGATATAAATAATATAAACAAAGGGTCAAAAATGATGTTCTTTCTATATTGGTTTTCAAGGATTGTTGTGCAAGGTTTCTGTTAAATAAACAATACATATTAAACATTCTTTAGTGCCGACCACGTCAGCACCACAAACAACAACAATGCCTGTGACATCAGAGGCACAAACAACAGAACCAAAACCAACTGCACAGACAACTTCAGTAGTTTCTACTTCCCAAAATCCAACGACGACACAAACAACCACAATGCCAACAACTTCTACCACAACAGAAGCATTGACAACAGAATCAACAACAGTAACAAATCCATCAACATTACCAACAACACAAGTCCCAACAACAAAGATGATGCCTACTACAGCTTCTACTACAACAACCACTGTTGCAACAACAAGTGCAACCACAAGATTACCCACAAGCACGACATCAACAACCACAGCAACTACATCAATTCAAAGTACAAGTACTTTACCAACAACGACGACGACAAAATTGACCACGACAACACAACAAATTACCACCCCAAAACCAAGTATTCTCAAAGGTATGAGTATATTTAAGCAAATATTATTATCTAATGTGAAATTATAATTAATTGGAGAAGGATGTTGAAATACGGCATTATTTAATACTTGAACGCGCCTGTTCAAAGTAACAATTTGACCTGAAAACCAGCATAGCACAATATGTTCTAACGGCACAGAACCTTAAAAGTGGCATGGTTGTGGCATTCCATGGAAAGCCGCGTGTGATCTTCTAATGAAACAAACGCACACGAGAAAATATGGGAGTACAATTTTAAAATGTCGACGGTGGTCATAACACAAATAGCTGCTGAGTCAAATTTGAAGGCAGGGAACACTTTCTTATTAGTGATGGACTGGTATTTAAATAGAAAACTGGAACAATCATACACAAGAAGTGATTGAATTAAGTGCACATAACACACCATGAACGCAACACTGATATCACATTGTGCGACCATCAATTATCTTTAAATACACATGTATCTTTAATATTAAAAAGTTAAAAAATGTTCAGAAAATGTTCATCATCAATATTGCAGTTCAAGAGTTTTGAAATTATACCCAAAATAAGCATGACGTTTGAGATGTCTGATCTTCTGTCATTTTACTTTCGCATATCTCTATTCCTTTGTTAGGTCATGTGGAATTATGTCCGCAAAGAATACAGCAGCTTGCCCAGACAAGAGGAGAACTGTTAGCACAGTTTGGACAAAATTGCTACGAAATCGTTGACTCAGGAGTATCATGGTCACACGCGGAGTCAATTTGTAAAGGTCAAGGTGGTCATTTGATACACATAGCAAACCAGCAGGAACAGGATTTTATTTTTGATTTTCTTGTAAAGCACCACACGCACACAGTGTGGTTGGGTTTGCATGATAGAAACACTGAAGAAAGTTTTGAATGGACGTCAGGTAATACATTTTACTGTAACAGTTGTTAACTATCATTTTCGATTAAAATGATTAATGCTGATGTTTAAACACCTACATTATAACGCAAACCAAATACTTACCGGGAATACATTTGCAATAATCTAAATTTTAATTGCATATCGCTTTTTCGAAAAACGATAAGTAGATAAAAATATGATGACACATAGCTTATCAAACTTGTTATGAAATGACATAAATCTATTATCACATTATGCAATAATAATTGCATTCAAGGCAATGCTGTAACATACGAAAACTGGAAGCCTGGACGAAAAGATTACCGTTATCACAACTCCGAAGATTGTGTATTTATGACACAAACTACAGGGGAATGGGACGATATACAATGCGGTGGTGATAAGGCTTTCTCTGAGCTATTTCAGGGACATCGTCATGCATTCATATGTCAGTATGGTATGTCTATTTCTTACCTTTCTTTTGTGAAAAAATTGATTGTTAATGCCGACATTTGTGTCTTGCTGATGATATTTAAACAGTTGTTTACGTAAAACGGTATTGCCGATTTTTTGATACAAGAATTTGTCTCTTTTTCAGCCGTGAAACCCTCAACAAATACAATAACTGTTACTGATGGTTGGTAAAATATTTTTAGATATTGATAAGAAATTAATTGTATTTACAACACGTTTCAATGATACAGTATTTTGATGGAAACATAAAATCTTTACAAACGAAAAAGAACAGACAGTTTCTAACGCTTTATATGATTATAACTTACAATTGTCAATTTTTGTTAAATTATTCAACAAGAAATATTTTTCTTTGATTCAGCTGTAACAAGTCCTTCATATGTACACGTTGATGGTGAGTAACATATGTTCAGGTATTTTGTAAAAGAAGTTAATTCATAATTCGTGGATTAGTTAATGAGAAACGATAGTGTTGTAGGTTCACTTAACATACAAAATGTATTGAAAGCTGTTTTATCATAAACACTGTATGTTATAACGATTTTTTATGTTTTTGATTTAGTATAATATCTTAAAATTACAACTGCCTTGATTAGAAAAAAAATAGAACAAAAAAATAAAAATAATCTGTTCAAGACATAGTTTCGTCAATTTTGACATTTGTATTAGTCACAACATAAGGCCTTTATAGACCCAAAAGAGAATCATTTCTTTCAAATAATCTGATGAACTCAGGAGTAAAGAAAGGCATTTTCAATTTGAATGCAGTTTATATGCAGTTTGATTTGATACTGTTCAATAGAAATCTTTATCAATCAACATTTAATTTCAGGTAACACTAACCTTTGTCCATACGGACTTCATCAACAAGCCGCAAGGGACAAGGGCACTCTTGCACAATATGGACACAGTTGTTACGAACTCGTTCCGAATGCAAAAGTTTCATGGCAGCACGCATCTGATATTTGTTCTTCCAGACACGGACATCTTGTATATATAACTAGTTCACAAGAACAGAATTTTATCCAAGGCTTTATGATGAGTCATTTCCCGGATCATGCTGTTTGGATTGGTCTCACAGACCGAAACACGGAGGGACGGTTTCATTGGGGATCAAGTTGAACTTTGTATTATAAGTTTATTGTTTTACATTTGCCATTTAGTATCTATTTGCTTGGAGTCTATACATAAATTATTACAAATATGTATGTGACAAGAAGAACAAACAGCATTATAATGTAGTTTCCTACATTGTTATATCACGCAATTCCAATTTTACAATTACGTGTATTTTCATAGACCTTGCTTTTCTATGAACATGTCTAGGACAAAATGCTCAGTATACAAATTGGGTTCCGGGACACATTGCGAACTATGCAAGCTCTGGTCAGGAAGACTGTGTTGTATTGATACCGTATAAAAATGGCCAATGGGATGATATACCATGTGGGCATACACATCACTCCTTGTTTGGTGGCACATCTTCTTCAGGTGAAACCCATCCACTTTTGTGTGAATACAGTAAGTATTTCGTTTTTACATTTAACTTTTTGAATCCGCTATTAAGCCATTTTACATTATTTTTGTTCAGATTTATTAACTAAGTTGCATTATAAAATCTACTTAATAATAATTAAATGTTAAAATTGACATAATTGAGAACAGAGATGTGAAAAGAAGTGTTTGTTTTATTCATGTTACAATATAACAATAATTTATGTGTTCACGTACATTACAGTATTTGAATGTTAAAGGAATAAAAGAATCATCATGTACCATTGATATCTTTTCTACGTTTCTGTTTTTAGGTATTTCAACCGGACCTTCAATCATTGGTTAAGAACGATTGTATCGATGACAAGTGTTGTGAAATGTTTTGTCGTGAATAAAGACTGCTTTGTTTCTCAAACTTGAGTATTCATATCTGAAATTATCTGTTTCATTGCTTTGTAGACTATGACCAAAAATTAAACGTGGTCTTTAAAATATTATTACTGAAGATATAATAAGTCTGTAGGAATAATGGATGAAGGTAATGGACCAAACACTTATTTAGGAAATCACTATTGAACAACAAAACGAAAACGGATTAAACTTTACATTTGGTGCTTTGAATGATATATTTTTATTTATGTATATTGACTTTTACAAATATTTGACAATATTTTAGATTTCCAAAATGTATGACCTTACGTGTTAACTAGTTACTTTCAATGGAGGATTAACACAATATAGATTTTAGGAATGTAATATGTTCGTGCTGAGCTTTGCTTTTTAAATTTTATCCCTAAAATTAGTAATGTAGAAGCTTGATGGACAGGAGAATGCCGAATTCGAAAGATATGTTATTTGCCTTGAACATGACTGTACATTTTCCTACCTTTTTAGATGAAATTTGATGACATATTTGACAGGAATGTAATGTTATGTTATATCCATGGTAAGTTATGTAACATATTATTTACAAAGTCTAATCAATAACTTAAAATAAACATTATTAAGTATACTTTAGATCATAGCTCTAGCATGTCTCAATCTGCATAATATTCTCTTAGTCTGGAGTTCCTTTCCCTTAAACTGTGTTATTTCCATACTTAATGTAGGCAGGGAATCAGACTTAATATTCTCTTAACAACAAAATGATTTTAATCAGAATGCTTTAAACATAACTATTCTACCCAATTAGAATTCAACACCTTTAGTTTAATTGTTATCATGTCCTCATGGTCCAAGAATGTCACTCAAGCTTAGTACAGTAATGGGGTTTAATAAACTTCATTTGTAATACAAAAATTCAATTATTCAAAAAAATATACAAAAATAATCTTTCTAAATTTGTCAAAAAATAGCTGCAAAACACCTATGATATCAGCATTCTGAAGGTTTACTTTCTATTATTTAAAACCCCAATTTAAAGAAGAAAACAAATTTACTGAATGTAACAGAAACAAAATTGTCAAGTAAAATAATTAAGCTCAAAGTAATGGACTTAACTATAGTAAGCATATTCATTACTTAGAACATTCTGCAATACATAAACATGTGCATTTAGATCAATATTATAATATATGCCTACTTTGTAAAATTATCAAGATAGCGACAATATACCCTTTTGGAAATATTACATAAAGATTACTACTACAGTAAATACTTCTAAATGTATTACCATATTTAAGATGGCCGTATGCTTAGTCCGACAAAATGCCAAAAAACTAAAATAAATATATATAATTAACGAACGTTTAAAATATATTTTATAATATTGATTGAAGTAGATTGTAATTAAATGTTGTTTTTTTTCAACTGATATAACATATTGTATTTTATCTATACTTATTATTGCATCGTCTCGGTAGCAATGTCAACGTTTTATTCGTCCAAAACAAGCCGTTTAACTCATACTATCTCCCCTTCAATGACATTGGTTCTCTTATCAAGTGACATTAATTCTTCTATGAGTCGTATGCCTTTTTTTATCTTATCTATCTTTAGACAAAAAAAAATGGATTTGAACATGATAAGTAGGAATTTAATTTTTTTTGTGGACATTTAAAAATATCTTTTCTTTCTTTTTTCTTTCTTGAAATCACAAATAGTCATGAAATATCGTAATTTGATATGTTAATTTTCTAATATTTTCGGACCACTTCGAAGGCACATTATCAGAAACGATTTAATTTTTCCTTCGATAGACAAGAGTTCTTTCAACGTTTAAAGAATGGTTTTAGAGCATGTCATATGCATATTACCTGGTGAAAATATATAATCTAGAGGAAGTAGCGTTGAAGGTAAAATCTTGTGTCGTGAATGTACTAGTAAAATGCAAACAAAGTAGTATTTGACTTCCTCACAAAATACTAAATCACGATCATTGAACTGATGGCAAAAAAAGTAACAGAAGCAAAAGATGGTTGAACAGTTAAGAAAATGCCAATGGGTCCTATTTAGAACTCATAACAGGACACCAAAAGATAATAAAAGACTTGATGTGCCCTAAAAACTACAAAAATATATGAACCAATGACTTTTTTTAAAATTTTTATATGCCCGTTTAAAAGACATTTAGTAAATGTTTGCTTTATTTCACGTTAGTAAACTACATGTATATATTATTAAGATACTCTACAGACCTGTTACAATATGTCAAGAATTATACGATAACTTTCTCGCATTTAGTAATGATGACTTAAAAGAAATTTCTTATCCTTTTGAATGAATCCTTATCTATATATGTCACTATATAGGTATACTGCTTCCGACATACAATTGCTGAAAAGTAGACAAACCTCTTGAACTGTTTTATTCACAGGTGCTTAATCATAAGATTCTATTTGAAAAGAAAATGATAGGAAACATTACTTTATATCCGATCAAAGGCCACATTTTTTTGTGGTTTGTTTCAATAATGGGGTCTTTGTAATTTATTTCAAATTATGAGATATCGTTAGGATAATATAATATATTTATCCTTATTTAGAATAGGAACTGACTTAAAATCATGCATAACGCCACCTCATAAAACAAGTAAATGTAAATTAGCCTCTTTATATTCTTATCTACAACATAGCGTATATGAAATCGAAAGTTCTAACAAATACATAATTTTGCGTGACAAAACCGTTCTGTAAAAATGCTTATTTTACTTTACAGCAATCAAAGTGTTTTTCTTTTGGTTTGCTTATATAAGAAATGCAGGTTAGTTATTAAAATATCTTTTTAAATCATTTTTGTACTTTATAATAGTATGTTTATTTAGTTATTTTTTAAAGTATTATATCATTATTTGAATATCTTTTCGCATGAAACCATTGTAAAGCGTGTTAAACATGTATGTTATTGGTTGCCTTTTTTCCTTTCTTTTTGTCTTAAAAAGTTAGCATTGTTTTCTCATATTAAGTTACAATATGTAATTCAATTTGCTTGTTATTCAATTATTTGAACATATAATATAGTGTTGGTAAAAATCCTTATCCTTCATGTTATAAAATTCAAATATTCGTGCCGTTATTTCTCTTTTAAAGCATCGCTGGAGTGTTATGTATGCACTAACTCAACAAATATCAATCAGTGTAACGACATTATTAAATGCGCCTGGTTTCAAGTAACCAGGGAAATTAAACCAAAAAAGGGTTAAAAATTTTTTTTTTTTCCCCCTTTTTTTGGTTTTTAAACAAATTTTTTTTTAAAAAGTTTTCCGGGGGGAATTTAAAATCTTTTTTTTAGAAAATTTGGCTCAAAACCCTTTCATTGGGAAAGGGGTTGGGGGGGGGTTTTTTTCCCTTTTAATTTTTCAAAATTTTTGTTTTTTAATGGAAAATGCTAAAATTTGGGTGTATTTCAATGTAAAATTTTCAAAAAATGTTTTTACATAAACAAGTAAAACATCCTTAAATTAAGAAAAAATTGTTTTTTTGGGTTTTTAAATGTTTTATTTCGAAAACCCCCTTTTATGATTTGAAAAACACTTCGGGCCACCCTTAAATAAATTTTTGGATGACTTTTTGTTAAAAAGGGATTAAGATAACAGTAAATTTTAAAAAAAAAGAAAAAAATTAAATATTGACAAACAAATTACTGGGGTTAAACCCAATTTATTTAAACATTATGATTTAATTCAATTTTTGCTTTTTGGCAGACATGCTTCCATGGTTTGTCAACAGTTGGACAGAATCAGATGTATTCACTAGGATGTATTGACAAACATGTAAATACCAATTTAAATTATGTTTTTTTTTTAAATTTGCAACTCAAATAAGAGCTAACATTAAATATTTAAAGTTATATGATGTGCAAAGTTTGCTTTAGCTTTTATGATTTCGTTATAAATACAACCCACGTGCTTTCGATGCAATGCATTTCTTTTTTCAGAAGTATATCATTAAATAATGTTTAACTTGTGTGCTTTCTTTTACTCCGTTACAGCAATGTGGTACTCATAGAGGAGTTGCGACAGGATTGGTTGGCCGTGGTTTACAAGGACAAAATAATGACTGTCATGAATGTTGTAGCTCAGATAGATGCAATAAACCACTTTGTGAACATTTCAAACGTATAATTATTCTACTTTTAATGACGAATGCAACTGTTTTTTTATCATGTTTTATGCAAACAACTTTTACATTAAATTTGCATGCAAACATGCGCGTGTGTTTTCTGTTTGTTTTGTTTTTAAGTACTAAATTCGGATCAAAATTATCAATGCTTTATTGACAAATTTATTTAAATACCACTTCACTATAGATGAATAGTTTACAATGAAATATAATAAACATACAAAATGTATCCTTATTACATAGCATCTCAATATTTTCAGCATCATCGTGTATTGACGATCATAAAATCGACTGTGCCTACCTCAATACCGTGACAAATGTTTGCAGTGATACTCAGCAGCCCGGGTTATATGCCCCGATTTTGTGATCTTGCAAACAGTATGATTGAAATAACATTTTTTTTTGTTTTTTGTTTTAAATTTTAGTATTATTTTAACTAAAATTTAAAAAGGGGAAAGTAATTTGCAAAATTTGTATATATAACTTGTACAAAATATTACCATTTTATTAAAAGTAATTGATTACAAAATCTCTAAAAACATTTAAAAATGCTTTTTTAAAAAAAAAAATTATTTTACTTAAAGGGTTTTTTTCAAAGTATAATTTCTTTAATTGTACAGCGATCCATATTTCTCTATTTTCTCTCATTAAAATTGCCTAAATTTTAAATTTCTTTCTAGTTGATGGAAATTGGTCTTAATGGTCCGAGTGGTTCTCTTGTAGCAATACATGTGGAATGGAAAACAGAGTAGAATACGAACATTACAAAACCAGCACCTACTGGTGGAGGTTTAAACTGCTCCGGAAATGAAACAGACGTTAAAAATTGCAGAAATTAAACCATGCCAGG